ACATCCACACGTTCTATACACTGTGTATAGTCAACCTTATTTGGAAGTGTACTCAAAAAGACACAGTTATTAATAGTTAATAGTTATTAGTGTACAGTATTTAACCTTTTTGCTGATCAACACTATAACATTGTAGGTGATGAGGTTGAGGTCTGGTAACACTGGTAACCACTAAAGCCGTGGTTCTCAACTGGTGGGTCGTGACTCCGTGTTCAGTGGGTTGCCACGTGCCTTCCACTGTGCTAGGTGGGAGGTGCCTTAGCTTCCCCCTAGCGCAGCACTGTCAGTTCTCTCGCCAAGCAGCCATTCAAAATATGCTGCCCGGCGCAGAGTGTCAGCTTGAGGTGGGGTGGGCTGGGCCGTGCCGCGAGGGAGCTCCATCCATATGTGCTCAGGGGCGTATCTGCCGCGAGGCAAACAAGGCGTTTGCCTGGAGCGGCAGATTCCCTGAGAGCGGCACTTGCTGTGGTTCTCTCCCCTTGATAAATGTATTCATCAAGGGAAGAGAACTGGAGGCTATAGTAGCGGCGGGGCCGGGGACGAGGACGGCCGGCGGGGAAAATACACCGCTGTATGTGCTTATAACTTTCTTGCATGCGCTGTAGAGGTGCCTGAAGCGAAGTAACCATCACATTCTGGCTCTCGGCACCTCTACAGGGCGCATAAGGAAGCTGTACAAGCAATGCACATATAGATGGAGCTCCATCCACACTGGGCCCCAGGTTGAGTTCTCATAAGGTAGGGAGACTGGGTGAAATTTTTTTGGGAGTGTGTATGTGTGTGTGAGAATGTCTCTGATTGAGATTGTGTCTGTGGTTGTGTGTCTTCCAGTATTTTTGAGGGCCCCATCAAACTAGTACAGTGCGTTAATCACACAGTCCCTTGCGATTAGCGCACTGTACCACGCAATCGTGCCTGCACGTTTTTCCTGCGGGAGATGCGTTGCATTGCCATTCATTTGAGTGGCACCCCAAATGCACCTCCTGCCCACAGTTTGGTCGATCGCACCAGAAATGCTGTGCGTTCCAGTGTGGTGGGACTTTGGTAACGACTTAATGACCAAGGACAAATGTGGACCCTGAGGTTACACAGGTTGAGAACCACTGCACTAAAGTATAGGTGGTGCTGCCTCGTACCTGGCATCAGTACAGACTTGGCTTCTATCCAGTGGGAGCAGCAGCTCTGCTTTGTGGGGGTACAGTGGTGTGTGCCTGTAATCCCAGCTACTGGGGAGACTGAGGCTGCTGGATTGTGTGACCCTGGGGCGTCTGTTCTGTGCCGAATTCAACTGTTTTATTGGGTTTCCACACCAAGTCCAATATCAATATGGTGGATCTGGTAGAGTTTGGGCCCACCAGCTTGTTCTAAGTAGAGGGGAACTGACTCGGTAGGAAAACAAAGCCAGCCAAACCCCAATGCAGATTCGTTGTGGGACTGCACCTGGCAGTAGTTGGTATAAAGCAGCCTGACAATAGATATCTCTTGCTGGGTACAGTGGTGTGTGTCTGCTATCCCACCTACCGAGGAGGATGTGGGATTTTATGAGCCCAGGAGTTCCTTTTTTTCACTGGGCTTTTTGATTAGGTGTCTGGATTAAGCTCATTTGCAGTATATTATTCTGGAGAGCTTGGAGACCTCAGGTTTTCCTAAAGAGGGGAGATCCAGCCCAGGTTGGGAACAGAGCAGGTCAAAGCCCCCTTACTGATCAGTAGTGGGATTGCACCTGTGAATTTCTGGTGTAGAGCAGACCGGATAATAACACGAGACAATGCCTATTTTTTTTTTTTTTATTTGCTAACAAAATGCTATAGCAGCTATTTCAATATAACATTTTAGGTGCCGTGGCTGCACAAGGTTGATCAGTATACACAGGTTACCACTAAAGTATAGGTGTTGCTGCTGCATAGAGCAAAATCAAAAAAGGCTTCTAGTTAGTAGGAGCATCAGATCTCTTTTGCTGGGTATAGTCACGGGGTCTTGTATTCCCATATACTGGGGATGCTGAGGCTAATGGTTGATATAAGTGTGGGAGTTCTATATACCTTCCAACATCAGAGGTTGAGAGAGTGGCAATCTTAAAAGAAGAAAACATGCAACACATGGATTGTGTCAATGTAAGAAGTGGGTTGACTAAATTGTGCTGGATATTGGGTGTGGCCTGAAGGAACATAGTAAAATATAGCCTAAGCCTATTCACAGTACACACTGCAAGCATACGCCACAGTCCTTGCACCCACAAAATACTCCTTAATTACTGTACCTAAGGTGAGCATTTCACAGACACACATAAATCTAAAGGGTCCTTTTTTTTAAAATAAAACAGAATGCGGACAAAGAGCTAACACTTTTTCTGAGCTGACCTTAAAGAAGATCTCTCAATTGTTGAGACAATACACACTTTGGCCAGAAGTTTGTAATGTAGAGCAGTTAGCACTTTGTTATATACAACAGGATGTATGGGGTACAGCGATATTCAGTTTCCCTGACTGCTCCATGTCGGCATACGAGTGGGTACAGGCTCCGCCCCCCCATCTGATAGGACTAATAGCTCATACATTTGAGCCTCCCCCCAATGGCGGTTTCCTCCTACCAGGTTAGTCGTCAGGCTGAGCCGACGGGGGTGTCCCGAGAGGAAGACCCTAATTCTGGCTCTGAAGGTGAGGCCTCTAGTTCGGAGGTAGATGTGGCTGATGGGTTTGACTTTACCCTGGTCCAGCCCTTCGTGAAGGCCGTGCGGCAGGCCTTGCTGTGGGAGGATGAGGCTCGCGAACCAGATAAAAAGAGGCGACTGTTCAAACATCTGAAGAAGGAAGCTCTCAGCTTTCCCTTTTTGACGGAACTCAAGGAGATGATTGCTGACGAATGGAGTCAGGGGGACAAGAAGTCTTCCTTCCGTAACCGCTTCACAAAATTGTATCCTTTCAGAGGGGAGGATTTCAAAGGCATGGAGGTAGCCCCGGTTGTTGATGCGGCAGTGATGCGGTTGGCAAGACATGTGACCTTGCCCCTAGATGACGCGGTGTCCTTCAGGGATGTCCTGGATCGCCGCATAGACTTTGACCTTAAAAAGGTCTTCTCAACGGCTGGCTCTGGCTGTAAACCGGCTTTTGCCTTGGCCACAACCTCTAAAGCTCTTGAGGTTTGGGCCGACAACGCTGAGTCCGCCGTCACCAATGATCTTGGTAAACCCGAGATTCTGGAGTCCCTCAGGAACGTCAAGTTGGCATCCACATTTGTTGCAGAAGCAGCCATAGATGTGGTTCGCTCCCTGGCGAGGGTGATGATCCTTTCGGTGACCGGCCGGCGAGCCCTATGGTTGAGGCCTTGGGTTGCTGACCCTACCTCAAAACAGGGGTGGTGCCGCATCTCCTTTAATGGTCATTCTCTTTTTGGCGATAAGCTGGACACGGCTATTTCGAAAGCAACTGGTGGAAAATCTGGCTTTCTTCCCCAAGACAGGCGCCTCCTACGACAGAAAAATGCTCGTTTCCAGGGTAATGCCCAAGTGGCTTTCAGGGAGTCAAAATCCTATAAGCCGGGTAAGCAGTTTCGTAGGCCCTGGAGGGTCTCTTCGACTTTTTCTAAAGTCCCTCTACCTCTACTCAGGATCGCCAGCAGTCCTTTTGAAATATCGCCCGCCCAGGTCTGCCAAGTGGGAGCCAGATTGACCAGGTTCGGACGGGTCTGGGCGGACCATATAGACGAATAGGTCATGTGTATTTTTTTAAATATACTATTTGATATTTTTTTGCAACTTTTTTCCAGTATTTCTACAAATAAATGTCTTCTTTGTAATGACAATATTGTAAATGATCGATCGCGATATGTTTTTTTATGATACCTTTTCATATACTTTTATTATCACTTTATTCTCTGTATTTTTGTAGCCCTGGAAAAGGGGGATTGTTGAGCCCCGTGAAACTTGTTTGCTATGTCCTGTCATCTTTTTGATAATCGTGGAATCAATGAAAAACTGTTCTGATAAAGAATTTATTTTAAAAAAACTAAAATACTGTTTTGGACTCTTAAAATGTGGGTTTTGCACCACCTGGTGCTTGACTACAAACAAATGTCTTAAACTGGCTGGCCCCCAGACTCGGGGAGAACCTAATTTTTTTTGACAGCTGCTGAACCCAGGCCATTGGGTCGAAACATAAACACTCCACCAACCAGCTAGAAAATCAGGTTCAGTGCCTAGCTTCTACTGCCTCTCAAATCTTTAACTAGGAGTCACCCTAAAAGAAGATATCCCTTAGCACTCTGTGAGTCCTTTGCCAAGTCATGCTCTGCTCACTGTCCTGAAATGAGGAATAATAATTTTATCTTTAGGCATATGTGATCGAATGTGTCATACATTGTAAGGAAATTCTATTTTACTACACACTGGTTTGGTTGGAGGGCTTTTTGATTCATTAAATCACCTCTCACCGTAATCTTCATGGAGATATACGTCACTCTATTCTCCTACCACACCACCATGTTGTCCTACCACAGACCTGAGTAGAAGACTAGGTCTAAATCAGTCTATGTCATCTTCTTCCTGCATTGAATGGTGGGAAGGGTCACATGATCCCTCAAACCTGGAAATAGTTGGTATTTCACATGGCTCCAGTGCATAGGGTGGCGGGGGAGTTCAGGGAACGTAAGTATCAGCTGGGGAGGGGTGGGCTAACAGGTGGACCAAATAATTTACCCTGATGGTCTGACCGGCTACACTGTGCACAATGATCTCAATACCAGTAATACTAACTATGCTCCAAGTCTGAAAATACGTCCTGCATAGTATTCCACTTTACAGACAGCTAATCAGGGATCAGGGAATTGGTTGGTTTAGTTGACTTCACTGCTCTCTATGCTGCCTTACTGCAAAGTCTACTGGAAATGCAGTGAGCAATCTGAAATGTATTCACAAAAATGTTAAAGCTGGTGATAGCACAAGTAAACTGAACAGCTGTATTATGAATTATTATTTTGAGAAAGTGTATTTAGCTATCAAAGACATGGATGGCATTTGACTCATACTTTATAGACACCTTTAATAAGAAACACAAGTGCTGAAGCATTGTCCCAGACATCATACTAACACTGCAGGCATCAGGTTATACTAAACATGTAGATCACATAGCACATCACAATATACAGAATAAATTGTTATGAATTCCATCCTCATTGAAGCACTGGTCACTTGCAGCATTTGCAGGTCTCAGATTCGCTGGCACATTGACAGCCCTCGTTGCATTTACCACCCTTGTCTGGACAGCAGGAGCAGCTGCCTGTGGATAGAGGCAGACATCAAATAATGTGCTTAGGCCAAGGTGAATGTCAAGCAGCCAACAGTCACAACACTATAAACTGTCATCAATAAAACAGTCTAATAAAACCAAAAATTATGTGTATTGCTAAAGGAAACCTATACCATGACAAATATGTGGTTTAATTCATTTTTCAAAAGATAAATAAGACATGAGATAAGTATAAGAGCCAGGAAACTAGCATTTTCACAAGGAGAAGTTGGCAGCAGTCTGCATGTTTTTTCATTACGGTTTTATGCTAGCAGTACACTGGTAGGTTTTTGTACGAACGTTCATAAGAAAAATCTCATAACATTTAATAATGCCTTTGAAGACTTGTAGAATATCGTTATAATTTTTGTTTGGGTTTAACATTCAGTTTTGGAATGAATGGAGTTTCAAAATCCAAATATACTGTTAGAATTTTGTTTGGTTGAAAAACATTCATCCTGCTCCTTCGATTTGTTTTCGTCACTACATTCAAAAACGATTAACTATTAAAAAACAAATGTACATTTCAAAAGTTTTTCGAACAATATTCTACTGGCGTATGACGAGCTTTACTCAACGGCCAGCTTTATGATTACGTCTATTTACTGTATCAAAGTTAGAGAAACTCCAGCTCAAATGATAATCTGTATATAAAAAGCAATGAAGGATCTGTGAAGGTATAAATATATTTTTCAGAACTCTTTGTGCTTTGCTGCCTCTAATGAAGATAATCTATACAAACAGGACCCCATAGCAAATTTTTGTTAGCCCCCCCCCCCAAAAAATGCCAATGCACATCACATTGCTACAGTAATGCGGCACAGTGCCTGAGCTGCAGCATGTATTATTGTATACGATTTGATTACATGCAGTTAGAAACAAATCACTATCCTTGAACTCATCAATCGTGCATCCAGGGAGAGTGATTGATTCCTAACTACATGTAATCATATCACATACCATTACATGTGGTGTTCCGGCGTTTACATGCAGTGGTTGTCACCTGATCATTAACTTGAATGGGTGACAGCTGCCGCTTGTAAACGTCAGATTAAGGATTTCTGCTGCAGTTCCTGATGCAGGAATCCCTAATTGCATACAAACTAAAAGTGCCCATACATTTCGTCCGATGATCGAATAGTCGTACGATTTTCGTACGGCAGCCCCATCCTGCCCCGATGATCGCAAGATTAATTTAGCCATAATTAACTAAAAGCACCTGGACGAAATGCGGTAATTGATTTGCCGTATTTTCGTTAGCGCAAGCGCAGTGTAGATCGTACGACTTTTGACCGACGGAAACGCCAGCAACCTTATGAAAATCGTACGATCTAGCAAAGTTTTCAAATATGCTTGACCGTCAAAAGTCGTACGATTGTACAGTAATGTCGGTCGGACACTGCAATGCACACATACGATTATCGGACGAAAAGTCGATCGCATACGAAAATCGTCCGATAATCGTAAGTTGTGTGGGCACCTTTAATGAGGCCTGTGTACATACACACACATAGAGAAATACAAACCTCCAAACACACACACTGGTAAAATAAAACGTACACCTGCAGAACAATGCACCCCCGTTTCTCCAGGGTTAGTTTTTTTTAAATCCCAGACATTTTCTTTCATTAAAAAAACCCTCTTTTATTAGGGGTGTGATTATGAATTACAGGGCCCCAAAAGCAAAATGTGTAGGGTGCGTCCTCCCTATACAAACTGAAAATAAATTTGACAAACACCCAATAATTTTTACTGCTCATACATTGCAACATACCATTGCTAATAAATCTGAATAAAAGTACTGAATAAAATTACAAGTGGTCACATGAGCGCAATGCTCAGAATGTGTCTGTCGGTGCAGGGCCTACAATATCGCTGAATCCTTGGAGCAGTGACTTCATCCCACCAGCTTCCATAGCGCTTTGGTCTGGGGAGCAAGAAAAGCACACAAGGTGTGCCATGGTACCATGTGGGCATGCTGAGACATGGATGTTCCTAAAAGACATGGTTCAGTGTGACAAAACCTTTTTACATCATTCAGCATTAATTTCCTTTGCAGCTCTCGCTATTCAGTCACATGACATCTAAGAGCCACAATGCAAATGGGTGTTGGAACCAAGTAAGTATATAATCCTAACATGTGCCACTCACTGCTGGTCCCACTCTGATCAATGATGACGTATCTCCACTCAGGGCTACCAGTTCAATATATCGTACAAATGTTGTCCTTGGGGGGACTAATGCCCTCCCGCTCCCTGATACTGGGGGTGGGAAACAGGTCCATTTTAAAGTGCTTTGTTAACACTTTAGCAAAACAAGATAAGTTTATTTTCTAATAAGCTGAAGATAACTGAAGGAAATATGAAATCTTAGCCTGGTGTATTAGCTTACAGAACTGAACCTAATGACTTATTTTCTGTAGTCACAGCCAATGGAAGATAAAAAAAAAGTCACACATATTGAGAAATAGCTGTTCTGGAATTTAAAAATGCTTCACAACTTAGTGAATTAACTCAATTGCCTTTTGTACATGTAAGGTGCATATAAATAAAAAATACCAGTCTTACTTTTATTGCATGACTCGCATTGGCAATCCTGACACTTACAGGAATCCTGGCAGGTACAGGGGGCGCCTATACATGACGGAGAGATACCATTGTAAAAATCAACATTAAAAAAAATGACATACATAAGCAAGGTAGATAATACAGAAATCTACAGTATAGCATGTTAAATTATAATATTTTTATACAGGATTTATATAGTGCCAATAGTTTATGCAGCTCTTTACAATATAAAGGAAGACATTACAGTTACAATACAATTAAATACAAGAAGATTTGGTGGGCCCTGCCCTAGGGAGCTTACAATCTAATATTTCATTCTCAATGGGCCCTTATGGGTTGTGGAGTCCTGCCCCCTCTTACTCATCATTATAAGTAGTTTACCTTATGCACATTATATAAAGTTTCCCATTTAACTTGCATTTGAGATTGTGAGGTGGGCTAAATCAATAAGGTCAACACTTTGGGCAAATGTTTGTCCTACTACAGAGCAAACAAAAGTTTTCAGTATAATTTTTTAATTGCATCTCAAGAAAGCGCCCCTGCAAATCTTTACAAATACTTTGAATTGTATTTTACAATGAGCAAAGGTGTAGTTATCGGAAAATGAGCGTAATTGCTACCAAAATTACAATCACAAGTACTTCTTCCAAAAGCCAATAAATGAGCAATGCTTATGTTTTTGCTTTTCTTTGTTAGACTGCATATGTTTGCATTGCCATTTAATGCAAAGTTTTAAACTAATATACCTTTCCTTTGGTGCCTATAGGCAGTAGAGGACGGTTGGATGTGGGGTATGATGTAGTGACCTTTAGACACTGGAATTAATAGACTGTAACATATCATAGTTACATAGTATTTGAGGTTGAATAAAGACATTAAATACAAACCACTTCATCTATGCCCATAGCTCTCAGCTTATGTAGCAAGCGTTTGTGTGGTACCGTATCAAAAGCCTTTGAGAAATCCAGATATACCACATCTACCGGCCTCCCTCCATCGATGTCTCTACTTACCCCCTCATAAAAAGTTCACAAGTTAGTTAGGCAGGAACGATCTTTCCTGAACCCATGCTGATTGTCATTAACTATACCATTTTCCTGAACAAATTCTACCAGATAATCCTTAATTATTCCCTACCCGAGGTTGCATTGGCCCAATTGATGTCTGGGTAATTTAAGTCACCCATCACGACTACATTGCCCTCTCTCCCAGCTATTCCTATCTGGGAGTGAAGGTTGACTTCTCCCTCTTTCCCTATATTTGGAGGTTTATAGCAAATACCCACGAGACGTTTACAGCTAGTGTTCGTCATATCTAGCTCCAGCCATAAGGTTTCCACGTCTTCCCCATTATTTGACGCGATATCGTCCCTTATATGCATATTTCGATTATTTTGTTATGTAAATGCAACCCCCCCCCCTTCTCCCACCTCTGTCCCTCCTGAACAGGTTATACCCCTTATGGTCGTGCGTTGGTAGTTATACTTACTTGTGCCAACGGATTTCCTATATTGACTGTTTTGACTAATTTAACTGTATTGACTGGAGTGAGCCTACTATTATTAACTCCTTTCTTACTTCTTTCTGTATTATTTTTGGCTATGTTTTATTTATCTACATTTAATTTAAGTAATTTTATTTGTATGCCCTTGGAGCATGTCCTTTCCTGCCCGTGGAGGTCCTTTCCTTCAGCCTCGCACCTAGGTCTCTGAACTCCTGTTTTAGGACACTCCAATTTCCTCCTATTTTGTCATTGGTGCCGATGTGCACCATGACAGCGGGGTCGTGCCCAACCCCATCTAGTAATCTGTTAATTCGTTCTGCAATGTGTCGAACACGAGCCCCCCGGCAGGCAGCACACTGTTCAACGCTCACGGTTCCGATGATTGATTACCCCTGTCAGTCCGCCTGATGATGGAGTCTCCCACCACCAGGATCTGCCTCTCCTGACCCTCCATCCTGCTCCTGTCCTCGCCGGAGCACTCACTCCCCCTGTGGATAGAGGATGAGTCGTGCTCCAGCAGTGTCCCCCCAGAACTGACATCCCCAACATCCTGCAACTTGGCATATTTATTGGGGTGAATCAGATCAGGGCTGACCTTTCTAGCACTCTTCCCCCTCCCCCCGCCTTCTAACAGTAAACCAGCTACCCACCTCTGGATCCTGCTCCTCCAACCCCCCTCCTCATCCAGACCACCCTCCACGACAGCCTGGTGCGTTAAGTCCAGACTATTTTCCATGGTGGTTATGCTCCTCAGTGTTTATATCGAGTCCTCCGGTTTATGTTATGGAAGAGGACAAGCTTACGTAGCAGATTCCAGTATCAGCTAAGTGAGGGGAATAACAGCAATCATACAATATTCATTTTTATTTGTCTGTTCACTATGTCTCCTAACATCTGTGACATCTGAGAGCATTCATCTATATGTCCTCTTGCAGGCAGAGGCGTAACTAGAACCTTCAGGGCCCCGGTGCAAGAAACCATGAAGGCCCCCCCATGGTTAACAGGAAGGCTGCCGAGGTCCGCAGCAAGGGCTGTGGGCAGCCACTTGTTTAAAATGTTAGTGCTGATGTTCTGTCGAGAACGCCAACCCAGAATTTGCGCTTACGTACAGACGGGATTAACGAGGAAACCGGCATTTATTTACAAGGTATTCGTTTGCAATTGTTGATTGTGACCTTTAGTAATATGCCGTCCATGGCAGTAAATGATGGGTGGAATAGTATTAACGGTCACAATTAACGATTTAAGCAAAATACTTTGTGAATAAATCCCGGTTTCCTCGATAATACCTCGCAGATGCTGAGGTTGGCAATTTCTACTATGTTGGCGTTCTCGACAGAACACCGGTATCTGTGTTTAGTATCGGGGCATTTTCACGAGTATGAGTACTCGTGAAAATGCCTAGTATTGGCAGTGGTGAATCCCTACTTACAAATATAATGCATTGCTGGGACTTATAGTCCTACATAGTTGGAGCTATTCTGCATTGCTGTATAATCATCATACAGCAATGCAGAATACCACCAGCTATGCGGGACTACAAGTCCCAGCAATACATTATAATAAGTCAGCTATGCAGAATGCCACCAGCATTCCCCCCACTATAATGCATTGCTGGGACTTGTACTCCTACATGTTTGGAGCTATTCTGCATTGCTGTATAATCACCATACAGCAATGCAAAAAACCACCAGCTATGCAGGACTACAAGTCCCAGCAAAGCATTATAATAAAAGTGAGCACTATATCACCAGCATCCCTGATCATCTCCTGTAGCATGCCCATGGTATTTGACCATCTCCTATTGTATGTCTGCTGTCTCGGATCATCTCTTGTAGCATGCCTGTAGTCATTGAGTATCTCCTGCAATACGTCTGCTGTCTATGATCATCTCCTGTAGCATGCCCGTAGTCTTTTTTCATCTTCTGCAGTATGTCTGCAGTCTCTGACAGCTTTTTGTAGCATTGCATTCAGTAAATGTTATTTGTGACACTTTGGTGATATCAGGGGCCCCACTCAAGTACCTTTATAAAGGGTAGGTGGACCACCACTGGACTACAACATAAGCAGTCTGTAGTGATCAAGTGACAATCATCTTATGTCTATAGATCCCTAAACACTGAAGGCTATGATATACTGTATGTTCTACCTTATTCTTATCACAACATTTAACAAAAATAACTGTCTATAGCCAAATACAGAAACCAAATCTTCATCATTATACTGTACATAAAATCATTATTTCATTATAATCATTGTTTAGCATAAATAAACAATATCCACGGCATACCTTGTGCGCATTTGCAGTCCTGAGAGTCCATGGTTGCTGTGGATGGAGATGCTCAGTAGACAGCTGGGATTTGCTGTGGATGGAGATGCTCAGTAGACGGCTGGGATTTGCTGTGGATGGAGATGCTCAGTAGAGGGCTGGGATTTGCTGTGGATGGAGATGCTCAGTAGACGGCTGGGATTTGCTGTAGATGGAGATGCTCAGTAGAGGGCAGTGATTCTCAATGTGTTCCTGTTGGAAGTGAGCAGCTCTGCTGTTCTCTATATACACAAGATTCCAGACTGAGTGCAAAAGCCAGCACATAATCACACATACCACACCACCTACGTGACTCGCAGTCACATGTGTTATGACACACTGTACAACAAGGACATGATGTGTGCAAAACCTGCAGAGTCAGAGAAGGCAGACCATTATGCAGCAAAAAAGCAGTTTCTGGAATTATTCTTGTGAATTAAAATCATTTTTTGTGATCAAATGCTGGCAGAAAGCAAAAATAGTTGTGAAAAATGCATTAGCACGGTTAAGACATTTGTATTTTTGTAGTATTCCTTCTTTGCTGATGATGACCATGGTTGACATCTGCAAATGCAGATCTGGGGGAGAGGTGTGACAAAAGTGACCCTTTTGCCTAAATATATTGGGAGGTATGCTAATTCTGGGAGGTATGCTAAAGGTATAAAAGTATAGCTCCCAACTGTCCTTTATTTGGAGGAACAGTCCCTCTTTTTGAGCTGCTCACTTTTTGGTCTGATTTTATAAACCTCTATAAAAAGGTGCACAGAGGTGCGCCAAAATAAAAGTTTCAAAACTGTAATGAAACCGAAATGGAAAAAAATGTCAGGCCAAAACCTAAAATGTTTTTTACTCTAACTTTTTGACATTTTTAAAAATATTTTATTTTTATTTAGTTTTTTTATAAACTTTTTAATTTTTTTGATAGTTTATTTATTTATTCATTTTTATTAAATATTTTAATTTTTTACCTGACTTTAAAGGGGCTTCAGGAAAATATCGGGGGTCTAGGCAGACCGCTGATATTTCCCTTTTAAAATAGAAAAAGAGATTTAGGACACAGAGTCCTCAATCTCTTTTTCTGCAGCCCCAGTTATCAATGAACAGGAAGCCTCTATACTGAGTGTTCCTGTGCATTCATAACATGAGGACAGAGTGTGTTTACTATAACCACAATCATGAATGAACAGGAGGTGATATTGAGCACTTCCCATTCATTCATAATTGAGGATATAGTAAACGTAATATGTCCTCAATTATTTAAAAACACTCAGAGATCACTGCTCACTGAGTGTTTTTACTCACTCTCCTTCCTGACACGCTATCACAGGAGGCTGAGCAAGCGGAGCACAATAGCCCATACAGCAGCTGAAGGCAGCCGAGTGGGTCAGCCAAGCAGAAGGCATATGCTTCGGCTCGACTGAGCCGAAGAGACAGCCGAAGCGTGGAGAAAGGTTGGCCGAAGGGCCACAATTTCTCCATGCAAATAATGGCTGGTCAGAACCAGCCGTGATCTCACAGCTCGCTCCACCCAGTTGTAATGATAGATCAGCGCCCCCAAATGACTTGGGGACGCTGATCTGTCATTAAACAATAACAACTGGGGGGAGCCGGCCATGACGTTATTTATTGGCCGGGACCTGCTAAAAGGCAGGTGGTGGCCAATAGGAAACAGTTGGGTGGAGCTTGCGTTGATGTCACTGCTGGCTCTGCCCAATTTTTTTTGCTGGCATCTGTCAGATTTGACATTAAGCGTTGGGAGTTCGTTGCGTGCTGCTGGGTCGGCGTGTGTCGTTTTAAAAAAAACTATTTTTACTTTTTTTTCTATTTAAAATATTTTTATTTTATTTTGAATTTTCCTATTTTTTACATTTTTAAAATAATTTTTAAATGTTTTTTTCAATTTTTATTTAATTGAACTATTTTCCTATTCTGCTCGCTACTTCAGAGGGTACCGATCAGGATAGCCGAGCCGAATGCAGCTCGGCGGCATGCGGCTAGTCACTTACTGCCGTTCGGCCCCTACAAGAATTCTGCTGACCGAAGGCAGGCGATGTACAGCTGATTTTAGCCAATGTACAGCTGAAATAAGCAGTACAAAGCTGAAGTGAATAGCGAAATAGTGTTCGGCTCACTTCACTTCGGCTAGGTTATTCACAGAATAACCCCCTAAATGTCATTTATTTGACAGTCTCCTCGTTGTGGTTTCTCCACCTCGTGAATTGAGCCCACATTCAGGTATTTACGGTAGCTGCATTTATATCTACATAAATAATAATCATCGTTTTATGAAAATAAGGATGTGATTTAGGTGTCTTAGTTTTGAGAACTGTACCTTTTTAAAATGAAAATTTCAGTTGGACATTTGAAAAAAAATTAAGTTGGGATTTTTATTTTTTAATTACTTGCTGACCGGGGTGTTAAACCCAATTCCTGGCCAGGCCATTTTTCCGTATTCAGCGCTGCAGTACTTTGACATGCGTCATGCAACGCTGTTCTGAAATTAATTTTATACCATTTTTTATGGACAGATAGAGCTTTCTTTTGGTGGTATTTAATCACCACTGGGGGTTTTATTTTTCACTATATAATGAGAAAAGTACAGAAATTTAAAAAAAAAAAAAAAACTGTTTTCCATACGTTATGTTATAAAACATTTATCAGCACCCAATTTTTGGTAAAATATTAAAGATGGGGTCACATCGGGTAAATACACACCGAACACAATGATCCACGATGATTACGAAAACGAAACGGAGCGCTACGTGCAGGGCCGGTGCAAGGATTTTTGCCTACACAGGCGAAGGTGCATTTTTGCTCCCCCCGCCTGTAACAGTACGGAGAACCGCAAAATAGTTATCAAAAGATATAATCAACAACTGAGTGTCTGAAATTATAATAGAAGGAAAACAGCAGGGACTATTCCCTGGGGTCTGAGGCGAGTAGTAGACCTGCACTTGCAACCCCCACTGTAGGTTATCTAGGACATGCTGGACTAGGACCGCTTCTACCAGCGGGCTGTACACTATGTCATAAACTTTTTGACTGACTGGTGAGACACCCTAAAATGTTTCAAGCCCTGTATATATGTATATATGAAATTTATTTAACTTTCAAAGTTTTTAAATTGCTGTGAGCCCGAATCAAACCCGGCCACATTATTAACAGCAGACTTGTGGCTCCTTGCTGGTGCCGCCACTGTCACTTGTCGAGTCCCTCCCTCTGTTTTTCTCCTCCGCGGCAGGAACTAGGTGGGAGGAAGTGACATCAGGGAGGTCCTCCAAAATCATACTCCATCTCCACCATGCGCTGTCATCTGGGACTAAATAGCCGGCACCGCCCCAGTCTCCACTACTACCAGGTAACCGTATGTGTGTATGGGCTGCGCAGGGTCCCCTTCATCAGGCTCAGAAATAGGATTGCATAAAAGTGCCACAACCTTTATATGGACGTAATAGAATGTCATTTCTGAGCCTGATGAAGGGGACCCTGCCCAGCCCAGAAAGCGCTTGTCTTATGAATGACAACTATCAATAAAATGGATTTGCAGTAACATGGGATCTTGGTGCCGGTGTGCTGGTGACATCTGTATTGTTGTTTAGTTGTGAGCAGCGCCATCCGCATTCATTACGAGCACCCGTTACTTGTGGTATATCTAGTAAGAAGTGCGGCAAGGTATATGGGTACTGCTTTGTACACTTGCATCCTATCTACAGAATGCATATCTGGGGACCTGTGGCACACTGGCAAGTTGTGATTAACTCCAATGTAATTTATTTACAAAATATATGCATAGTGTGTACTTTGCAAAAAAATTGCCGTGAAGCCATATAGTGTTCAGGTTTGGCTTGAAGAAAAGGTGGCAACCCTACCCTGAATGCAGGTGTTTTTTCGTTGGTAGATCTTATTGAGCTTGTCACTTGAAAAGTTGATCTCCAGAGGAAAAATTATGGGTGCCCCTGATTTAAAAGGTCTGACCAGGGATGTTAAATGAATCGTCGAGGTATCGAAATATAACGGTATTGGTTGAATGTAGATCTTAAAAAAGATAAGCTATACTAATTCGGAAAACTACAAGCAATAAAGAGCAGCAATCACGATACATTAAGAAACTAGCAAGACGCACAAGAAAAAATTTGCTTTATGAAAAAGGTTATTAGGCTTACAATTGAAAATGTAACTGTATACGTGATGTGATGCCTGTTAACATACCTCATATCTTGGATGCCTCATATACTGTTATAAGTTTTGTAACTCATATATGCAAAATACACAATAAAAATTGTCAATTTAAAAAAAAGGTCTGACCAGCAGGACTTCTTAACTTTCCTAACTCAATATGAGAACAGATTGTTGACATTCTCACCCTCTGTTCAGATGTGATATTACTAGCACCCACCAGATGACACTGGTTTCCAAGGTTATACTACAAAGGGAGATCAGAAAATGAAGAGGAAACGGTACATAGAGGTGCCATTGTGCAATATGACATCAGTTCAGGCTTGGCTTGTAGTCAGTGAGAGCAGCAGATTTCTCTTGCTGGCTGCAATGGTGTGTCTGTAATCTCAAATACTGAAGAGGCTGAAGCTTCTACTCTGCCCTGAGCTTTGATGAGGTGGCTGCACTATATTCTAGAATTGACATCAATATAGTGGCTATAGGGAAGCTTGGGGCCCAAAGGTTGTTCTAGGGAGCAGTGCAAGTCAAGACCTCTTTGTTGATCAGCAGTGGGATTGTGCTTGTGAATAAACAGGGCAGCCTAGACAATTCCATGAGACCTTGTCTTTTTTATTTTTCTTCTTTTATTATAGTTTTTTCTTTGCTAATTAATGTTATAGCAGCTTTTTCAATCAAACATTTTAGGTGCTATGGCAATAAGGTTGACTGAACACTAGTAACTACTTAAGTGCATTTCTGCTGCATATCCAGACAGTACAGTACAGTACAGGCTCAGTTGGTAGTTAGTAAGAGTAGGCCTCTCTTGCTGTGTGCAGTGGTGTGTAACTGTAATCCCAACTACTGGGGAGGTTGAGACTGCCGGAGGTTTTACGCTACACTGGGCTATGTTGATTAGGTGGCCACACTAAGTTCAGCATCAGTATGGTGGATCTGGAGGAGTTTGGGGCCACTAGGTTGTCCCAAGGTGGGTTGAATCAGCCCAGATTGGCAATAGAGCAGGTCAAAGCCCCCTTACTTATCAGTAGTGTGATTGTACCTAATAGATTTTCTTTTGATTGATACATTAAATAAACCTGTCTGGCTGCTAGACCAGTTCCCGCAACCTCTTCTCCCCCGGACTTTGGAAGTCTAACGACCTGTGACGTCATTACATCTAAAGCAGCCGTTTAAATCACATATAAGCCATTTATTTACAGTAATATGTAGCAACGCGCATTAATAGCAATGAGGTGCTATTTATTCTGCATAGCACCCCGATGCACCTGTTGAGGATGTGCATTGCAGCACTGGGCAACGCTCAGCAATGCACTGATGTGCAGTACACTGCTAAGAGATGGTTTGCTGCAACACACGTCTGTCAGTGGGTTCATTGGGGTGCCATTCAGAACAAGTGTCACTGCATCACACCAACAGACTTAATGTGTTAAAACGGGCATTGGGATTTTATTGTGGATGGTATTCCTGCTGGAAGAGTTCCTTTCCCTAAACCATGACATGAAGTGAATAAATATTTAATGTTAATTTCTCCTGGTCCACAGAACAAGGGGTACAGTAGGGATGTGTCCTTTACCAAGATACTTTGTGCTAAAAGGTGTCCTTTTTTTCTCCTCCTAAATATGTCGATGGTCCATGGTTTTATTCCGAAAGCCACTAATCAGATTACACCTTTCAGGACATACCTAATGCTGATTGGTGGGCAAGAAGAAGTAACTCCAGTTCTTAGAAAAACATGCTAATACATAAAGCCCAAGAGCAGAAGGAAACTGGTTTATTTGTCCTTTTCTGAATCCAACTACTGGAATAGGGCTTGAATAAATCCAATGTACAATTTTATTTTCTGAAATGTACAACGGACATTATTATTATTATTATACAGGATTTATATAGCGCCAGACAAGATGGCAAGGAGGGCCCTGCCCATGAGAGATTACCATACTGTGAGCATCCCCATAATATATACATTGTGAAGCAGAACCATTAACATTATTTGTGTTTTTGGCAATATTGTTTGTGTTCACCCAACAAACTCAACTCCTGTAGCTGTGTATAAGTACAGCCCATAAGTGCTTACATGTTGGCATTATGAGCTATGAACAATTACTTAACTCTTGATCATGAAATTACAAGACCATAACCATCCTTTTAAAAGTAGATGATAGAAAGAAGGGTGTACAGACCTGGTGCAATAAAATTTGTACATTTATTAAAGCAAAAAAAGAATAATGCACTCAAAAGTGGAGGCAGCGCTTGTAAATGTTGACCTTGACCATGGTAGGGCTTACTGCTTGATCATCTGGGGTTGTGCAGGGTAAAGCAATAGGTCCTGATACTTCAGGATAGCATGGAGCAGCATCCTTGTTTTTAAGAGACACCTTTTGGCGGCTCCTTCTGCAGGTCCTTCCAGTGCAAAGGCGATGTGTTTCAGGAATCATATTCCTTCTCAAGCTTTAGATTTAGCACTTTTTAATAGCTATCCAATTAAACTGACTTTATAGTGTTTGGCTTACAAACCAAACAAGACGCTCTTACATGTGCCAGGACTACTTTACTTTGAAAATCTTCATGTAAGTTTTATATGTGTCATCATGACCCTATTGTAGTGTTTGATTGGCCACAAGCTGGAGATTTCCATTATTACTACACATACTGTACACATCACTCTAGGACAGGGGTCAGCAACCTTAAACACTCAAAGAGCCATTTGGACCCGTTTCCCACAGAAAAGAAAACACCGGGAGCCACAAAACCCTTTTGACATCTACAATTAAGATAACACTGCCTATATCATTTATTACCTTTATGCTGTGTATAGCATGTATATAGGTATATATTGACTTAGTAACGTGCTGGACTCTGGGCTTACCTAAAACCTTGCAGAGCCCACCTGAGAGTGACCCTGCAGAGCACACCATAGATCCTGCACAGCCCATCTGTGACTCTCTATGGTGGGCTCTGCAGGGCCTTAGGTGGTCTGGTCACCGGGGTCTCTTTCCCTGTACCTCCTCCCAACTCCTCTTACCTGCTGCTGCTGGGGCCTGGCCTCCTCCACCCCTTCCCCTGTCACTTCTGCCATGTCGCCCCTGGTACAGCTGATACTCATGTAAGAGGCCCCCCAGGCTGCCTGGACCCCTCACATGGGTACCGGCCGTACCCCCTGATGGCAGTATTCTATCAAAGTTTGTGACTACGTTACAATGTGTGACCAGTGACGTGGTCACACATTTTAATGTAATCCCGTCCAGTTTTTTGGCGGTGGAATGTGTGACCGCCAATTGGTCAAGCATTCCAACGTTTTCTCAGCTGTTGGGTCCTGAAATGTCACTTCTATCCGACTCTGTGAGTGCGATCTCACATTCCACCCCACTCACAAAGTCGTAACTTTTGGCTCAGTGATCTGTACCTTTGGCCATCTTGTCTTGGCCTTGCAGTCTGAGAAACACTGCACACCTATATTGAAGTTGTTTGATACTGATCGTGATCTCCTCACTCATTTCTGCAAGTGTAACTTAAAAGAGAACTATGAGGTGAGTGCTTTTCACTCACCTCATAGTTCTAGCCGACCTGTGACAATGAGACTGTCACAGGTCGGCTCAGTCGATCGGGAGGTGAGCGAACACATACCGGCGTTCCCTCACCTCTCGATCCTGTCACAGCTCTCTGCCGTGACAGGGGAGAGGCTGGATTCCCCCCTCCCCGCTCCAAATCGCCAACGCTGACTGGCGGAACGGACGGGGAGGGGGCGGATACAGCTGGCTTTGCCTCTAGATAGGCAGAGCCAGCTGTCACTCACGCAGCTGGGTGGATCCAGACATAATTGTCGGGATCCGCTTCAGCTGCGGCGTCTCAGTATACCGCGGTGTCTCAGTATACCGCGGTGTCTCAGTATACCGCGAGCTGTAGCTAGCAGTGTACTGAGCTTAGGGTGACGGGAGGACGCTAGTTTGTGTCCTCCCGTTACCCTAAGGAGAACTATGTGGAAAAGCCTTAACCCTATAGTTCTCCTTTAAACAATACAGTGTATTACATACAGTGCTGGGTATACCGTTTTTTGTTTTCATATCTCTCCATATTACATACATTATTTTGGGCAGCAATGGCACTGATGACATCATTATAATAGGGTTAACGACAAATTTTATTCTGCAATTTGTTATTTAATAGAGGCACCTGCATCATGTTTCTGTTGCAAATCATTTGTTTTCAGTTTGGCAGTGCCAACTTAAAAGTTTACATACAAATGATAAGAAAATCAGGAAAATAACATGGTAAAGGAAGAAGGGGATAAATGAGCTAATAAAAACTAACTAAGGTTCACTAAGAGTTAATAAGGGGCTAAAATGTTTTGAAAACAGTTTTTTATACAGAACAGTAATTTGTAGGGATGCACCGATACCACTTTTTTAAGACCAAGTAGGAGTACCGATACTTTTTTTCACGTACTCACCAATACCAATTACCGATACTTTTTCTTACAGGGGCAGGTCACATTTTTTCTAAAGCAATACAAAATGATGATTTTAGGTCAGTTTCTTCATATTATGAAGAACATGAAATGAATATTTATCATGCCATTTCTAACTAAGGCATGTATCCCCCTAGTGGGGAAAATAGATGAGCACATGTCCAGACCCCAGAACACTGTATTGTATAATGTGGCACAGCTATATCCAATTCTGCATACCTGGCTTTATATTATACAGGTGCTGCAGTACTAACCTGCTGTGTCGGGTCGTCTTCTCCATCTGCTTCAGCCACTCCGTGTCTCAGCCTAGTCATCTGCTCCATTCTGACCTCTTCTCCCGCTGATTGGCCGATTGGATGATGACAGGCTTCCTCACCAGTCACTCCTGACTGGTGAGGAAGCCTGTCAATCATCCAATCAGCGGGAAAAGAGGTCAGAATGGAGCAGATGACTGAGGACTTGGAGGAGGAGTTCGCGGCCATCTTGTTTCATTGAAGACGCGATGGAGGTCCTGTGTGCGGCGGTTTCGGGTCCCTGAAGATGGCGGATGCGGCACAGGTACTCGTTTTTTGTATCTGAGTATTTGCACGAGTACTCATGCAAATACTCGGCATCGCCGCCGCTACTGATGCTTGTATCGGTGCATCCCTAGTAATTTGTAAATTAAAACTGCAATAAATGTAGAACACGACTGTAGCTGATGGCTCAGTCATAGAGATTACACAGGGAGAATGCAGCTCTCCCTGTGTAATCATCAGAAACCCGTGACAGCTGGGTGCTGTGCTCTGTTCACCAGCAGTACATGATCTGGTGAAAGTGGATGGCTGTCACACAGAGTGGCCTGCTGTTACACTGACAGTGGAGCAGAGCACCACTGGTTACACAGGAAGAGCCGCCATCTTCATTTGTAATCTGTAGGACTAACATCAATTTGTCATCTCAGTCCTGCACAGGGCATTAAGACTGTTGGGCGATGCATAGGCAGAAGCGGCTCCCACCCCAGCTGTGTCCCGCCACAACATGGTGCCCAAAGTATCTGCCTCTTTTGCCTCTGCCTGGCACTGCTCACATTTATTGTTTGCATGTTACCAACAGGATGTCCACAATAGTAAAAAAGTAACTAAGCAGTGAAAAGAATACAATTTATGAAACTGGTGTGTCATTTATCACCATGATCCTGCCATCAGTTACCATTGGGTTCACATTTATGTGCTAAATGGAAGTAGTCCGAGGCTGGCCACACACCTATAGATTTTTTTCTATCAGCCTATGGTCAGATGGAAAAAGTGCAACCGATTCCTCCATTTACGCTAAACTGTGTGGATGAAGGAATCTTTCACTGGGCCAAGCTTCAGTATTTTGCTAGCCGGCCCCGCTTGCTCTCAATATATATATATATATATATATAAAATTACTTTTGCATGATATTCTAATTATTCGAGTTTCACCTGTATGTGTATGGCCAGCTTTACACTCTGGAAAGCACTCGTCATCTGTGATACTTGGAAGGTTTCCCTTCTGTTCAGTGAGTTTATTGTATGTCTGCTTTTGCACAGTTTTTATTTACTATAATTTTTGTATCTCTGCAGTAAAACTTTCCAGGGCATCTTTAAATGATGAAAGTAAGCATGCTCCCAATTCACTGCTTGTCTCCTCAATTGCAGAATCATAACTGCCAAACAGTGGTGTGGCCACCAGTATGTCTTCTCGAGCGGCTTGGCGTAATATTCGGCAAAGGGTTTGTTTGATGGTCTCATATTTTTGAAGATCATACTTTATGAGGGTTACTTCATCCAGGGGGTAGCTGACATCAGGAGGATAGCAGTCCTTTGGTACTGGAAATTCAATGTACCTCAACACAGGCAGATTGGCAAGAAGTCTAAAAAGACGCCGAAGATCTATAGCAATGATGGGATTTCCGAGGAATTTGAATTCTTTAAGTTTGAGACAATGTACTATTCCCATCTCCAGAATATGAATATTCATATCTCCAATAGCACATTCTTCCAGAATCAGAACCTTCAGGGTCTGAGAGGCCTTGGACAGAAGCTTCAAAAACATTGATGGAAAAAGGTCTGTAATGTTGTGACCACTCATATCCAACTCTTCTAAATATTCTGCATGCAGGCTGTTTGCTAGGTAAGCCATGTCTACCTGATTGAGAGAGCAGTTCGCTAGTTCCAACACTTTGAGTGGTGTCTTCAGTGGGCTGAAAAATACAGTATAAAGTATATTTAAATGCCTTAAAAATGTTATACCGCTACAAATGTGATTTCTCTGGTGATAAAAAGGGCCAAAAATACATTATTTGTTAAATCTTTAGCTTTGTAAAAGACAGGAGTCACACAACTTGGCTTAGTTTCAGGTTGGGACCTGGAAAGGGAGCCTAGGCCATAGTCTACAATATTTTACAAGGATGGCAGATGCTCCCTTGTGTATTATAAGGCACTGACCCAGAACAAGTATGCCTCTCAAGAAAGTCAGAAATCCTTATCTGTATGCTTGTTCTGGGTTAGTGACAAAAAGGTATATAAATAGGAGGGTAACCACTGCAATAAGGCAACTAGCTTTCCAAAATGAGAAGAAGCATTAGCAGTCCCCATGCATCACAAAACATAGGCGTTCTGTAATAGCAGATCTATGCTGTTCAGCATTGTGGCTATCTTCACACTTATGGATTACATGAACACATGGTAATGCAGGGCACTCTACATTCACTTAAAATGGTATATTAACACAAGTAAAGTAGGTGCCCATTAAAAAAAAATACTGGTTCAGTTTTCCTTCTAAATGAATGGGCTGCCTTAATGCAATGCACAGTAACACAACACAACAGTCTGACAGGTGTGAAGGGGGCCTGATAGTTGACAATCCATAGCTGAGCTAATTATTGTCAGACAAGGTCTTAAATGAGGATCATTTAGCATGTTTTGGAAAAGCAACCTTATATCCAGCTCCGTGCTTCTTCTTTTTGAAATCTATTGCTAATACAACCAGCATTTTATTTATTACAGGTATTTATATAGTTCCAACAATGTACATACTATACATTTACATCCGTTCCTGCCCTCAAGTAATTTACAATCTAAGGTCCCTATCTCAAATGTGTCCAACTTACCCACCAGCATTTATTTGAAGCCCATTAGAACGAGAGGAAACCCACACATGCACATGGAGAACATGCAAACTCCTTGCAGATAGTGTCCTGGCCACAGGGGCTCCCAGTGCTGCAAGGCAGATGTGCAAACCACTGCACTACCCCCATTATAAAGAGGCCTCACTCTCTTGAATATTTATGACATGCGGCTCCTGTACATCTGTTAGAATGATCACCCGCGTTCTTTATTCCTTCTACTTTTGGGATGCACAAAACTTTTCACACCTTTCTTTACTATAGCTGTATATAGGACAACGATTGGATTTCTAACACATATCAAACACTCATACTTTTCTTAACAGTTTTAACTTCAAATCACCAAGCCTGCTGGGTATTTTTGACACATCCAGTGCTATTGTGGTTGCACCAAATACTTATATTTATTGCTGCCTGCGTTTCCCTTTAAGAGATTTCCCATTACTTTATCTTCTGGACATTGCTGATCACCAAAACAGGAAGTGAGGGAAATCTAGCCAACAACCACACAGATGGCAGGACAAATATTTCAGAAACACAGGATGGATGTAATCTTATGCAAGGTTACTGGTTATTTTTATTCTGACTGTTGGAAATATAACATCATATACTGTAACTACATCTTTTGAGCACTAGATGGCGTTCTAGTGCAATGTTAGTCTCTGCTTATGCATGTTTTACCTATGCAGGAAGTTATATCGGTATATATGTTTACCGATGATGAAGTAAATGCTGTATTCTAATATAATGTTCTTCTAAGCAAGTGCAACTCAATTGAGAATTTATCAAGATCTCAGTGCTTCATCTAAACACATAACCAACAGGTTATGAGCCCAGATACTAAACAGAACACTGCAAGCTACTGAAAGATGGCGTGTTTTCGCTGTAAAAAGACTGGTCACCTGAAAAGGACTGTTGAATCTGAAAAGCCGAGCAGTGAAAGTGAGAGGCACCTACAAGAGAAAGGGCTAAGGCAGTCACAAAGGAAACTGCAGGCACATCATGGAGCGCTATTTTTAAAGTGACTCAGAACAGTATACCACACAGATGGTGTATTGACTCTAACGCCACAAGTCACATGACCAGTGGTGAGACCTTCTTCACAGAAATTGATTTCAGTGCAAAGGACAAAGTTTTCCTTGCAAATGGGAAAAGTATTACTACAGAAGATACCAGTCAAGGATTCTTGAACTGGATCATACCATCAAAGGACAAGCAGGGTATCCTCATGAAAGATTTACTGTATGTCCCAGACCTAGAAGGAAACCTTCCATCAGTGAAAACCCTTGCTAATAATGGTCTCCCAGTTCAATTGTGATGTGTTGAAATGTACAATCCGAAACAATAACCAAATCCTCTCAAAAGGAAAATTGGATGGACAGCTATACAGACTCATCACCGCAGACAAACAAGCCAAGACAGCCACTCCTAATCCACATAACAAATGTATCCACATATGGCACAGATGACTAGGGCACCAAAACTAGGGTTGCCACCTGTCCGGGTTTGACACAGGCAGTCTGGGTTTGAGAGTCCTAAATGTATTGTGCATGGGTGTCCGACCAGCTTAACACCTGGGCACATACGTGCCAAGTGTCCTGAACTTTTATGCTGTAGTCTTGCCGTCCTGTAGCCGTGCAGCATAAACCTCCCTATCGGCCTCTCAGTTACTCTGCCCTGCAGCCCTGTCATATTGTAATCTGTGCTGGGAGGCTGTATGTGCAGTGAGGCTTGCATGTCCATCTCTTAGTTGCAAAAATTTCTGATCAGAGATGCAGGAAAACAGACCCCAGGTCAGAGGTGTGGCTGGGTGGGGTTACCATGGCAACGGCTGTGCTGGTGGGGCCATAGTCAGGGGCCATATTCTAAGGCATGAGTCATTAAAAAAAAAAAAAAAAAAACCTTACTCTTGCAGTGGGACTACCTCCCCCACTGGAAGGGTTAAGGGTCCCTTAACCCTTGCGTATTTTGCTAATCGTACATTAGTGTGCACTTGGCACATGCTATCGCACATTTCACCTAGTGTGTGGTACCATGCGCTTGGTGTGTTGCACTGCAATTCTTTTCAATGGCACCCCAACCAAGCAGACATGAGTTGCAGTGCAGCATGTGGTACCACATGCTGCACTGGAAGTGGTAGGACACAAAGTACTTTTTTCTCAGTTTTGTTGCAATGCAACATATGTTATTGCAGTACCACCTGCTGCACTGCAACTATCTCTCCTCACTTTCTCTCCTGGCTGTCTTTCCTCACTCATCCTACTGGCTGTCTCTCCTATCTCTCCTGGCTATCTCTCCTCACTCATCCTCCTAGTTGTCTCTCACCATCTCTCCTGGCTGTCTTCCCTCATCCGCCTGGCTGTCTCTCCTCACACATCTTCCTGGCTGTCTCTCCCCTCGCTCTCTCCTGTATATTCTAAGAAAAGTGTTCGGGTTTAGCTTGAAGAAAAAGGTGGCAACCCTACCTGAAACCCAGAAGCCATAAAATACATTATAAAGAGGCTTATCAGAAGATATAACCTTACTGCCCTGTCAAATGCTCATGACATGCCAATACTGTATGGAAGCAAAGGCCACATGTACCCCACTTCCACAGGCCACTCAAAGAAAGATCACTCACCCCATGGAGCTCATACACGACATGTGCAGACCAATGAAAACTCAGACAGGAACAGATATCTACTGACTTTCATTGAGGATTATTCCAGGTACATAACTTATTTGATAAAGCACAAGAAACAAACATCAGGAAAAAAAAATCAAGTTTGTAGCCATCTCCAGCAAAAACCTCTAATGGAAACTAGGTATTATATGCACCGACAATGGAGGGGAATACATCAGTAAGGAAGTGGAATCAACAAAATGGTGTAACAGAACGGAAAAATCACACTCTTGTAGAAATGGCCGGATGCATGCTGTCAGACACCAACTTACCTAAGAAGTACTGGGGAGAAGCAGTAATGACTGCAACATACCAACAGAACAGGCTACCATCAAAACCACTGCATTTGAAATGTGACATGGATCGAAGCCTAGCCTCGGGCACATTAGAGTGTTTGGATGTAAAGCTTACGCCTATATTCCAAAGGAAAAGCGATCAAAAATTGGAGAACACAGCCATAGAAGGTATTCTGGTGGGCTATAGTGAACAAAGTAAGGGATATAGAATCCTCCACCCAAAGACTGACAACGTGACAATAAGACACAGCATTTATTTCCATGAGAACCCATCACCAGAAACAATGATTCCAGGGAGTTGGAAAGTGAATTTGCCCAGTGAACCAGCGAAGGAAGCAAATGGACTTTTAAGGTGAAGCTCGATGCAGAAGGAAATATCCACAAATGCAAGGCCAGGTTAGTTGCCTCCCAGAAATTTGAAGAAGCCTACTATGAAACATTCGCTCCCGTATTAAAACAGTCCACCAGAAAGGGCATGCAAGTGAGACACCTAGAAGTTAAAACTGCTTTCCTATATGGAGACAATAAGGAAGATCTCTACATGGAGCAAGGATAAAACCTCATGTGCAAACTCCACAAAAGCATCTACAGACTCAAGCAATCTGCAAGAATGTGGAATGAGAAAGTGAATAAAATACGCAAAAAAGAGGAATTTACAGGAATCAAGACGACAGATGGATATACATCCTAATCTATATTCATGACATTATAACTTGTTTTGAACAAGGAGACTATAGTCAAATAGTTCACAAACTAAAACAAAACTTTGGAATTAAAGAGCTAGGAAACATCAGTCACTATATTCAAATAGAGAGGAAAGAGGATGGAAGCTTTCTTCTCAACCAAAGTCTCAACCAAAGTCAGAAAATTGCAGAAATTTTGGAACAATGCCACATGCAAGATATAAAGGAAGTAAAAACACCTATGGAGCCAGGGTACCAAAAAAAAGCAAAGAAGCAGAAAACATGCTACCCAACAATGACATATACCGCAATCTGAAAGCTACTATACATTGCCACTGTGACAAGACCAGACATAGCAGCAGCAGTGGGCATACTCGCTAGAAAAGTTGCAGCACCCTGTCAGCGTGACTGGAGCACAGCAAAGAGGGTAATACAATACTTAAAAGGAACAATTCGGATGAAACTACAACTGCCAGCAGAGTAAAATCCAAAACTAGTTGGATATGCCTGTGAAGGTTCTCATTCATCCAGGTCATGGTACAGGTGAAACTCGAATAATTAGAATATCGTGCAAAGTTCATTTATTTCACTAATGCAACTTAAAAGGTGAAACTAATATATGAGATAGACTCATTACATGCAAAGCAAGATAATTTAAGCCGTGATTTGTCATCATTGTTATGATTATGGCTTACAGCTCATGAAAACCCCAAGAACCCCAAATCCACAACCTCAAAAAAGTAGATTATTACATGCAATCAATAAAACAAGGATTGTACATAACAATATCAGACCTCTGAAAAGTACAAGCATGCATATGTACTCAGTACTTGGTTTGGGCCACTTTTGCAGCACTTACTGCAATTACTTTTGCACGATATTCTAATTATTCGAGTTTCACCTGTATATCTGTAAAAAAAAAATAAGTCAAGGCAACCGGACTTGCTGTATTTTTCTTGAAGACGTTTCACTGGTCGTCCAACCAGCTTTCTCAATTCAGAATGACTTGTACGAAAAATTTCTAGGAATAAATATGGTAAATGTTGTTCCAATCCACATAATCTGTTAGTCACGACCAGGTGTTGATTGCATTTGCATAATAGGAGTCTAGGAGGTGTTAATAACCTGCCCAGAGAGAGGGCCCTGAAAACTTGTGGGTATCCAGACTGAACTTTTGTCAAAACAGAAAGGAGAGGAAAGAATGCCAAGAAGTACCAGTGAGGGTGAAAAGCATGACAAACGGAAGAATTTGGTCATCCCATATGTAGCTGGGGTGTCTGAGAAACTCAGAAGGGTTTTTAAAAAACATCACATCCCTGTCTGCTTTAAACCCAGCAATATACTGAGGCAACTGGTTCACCCAAAAGACCCAATGCCAAAACACAAGATGAACAATATTGTGTATGCAGTCCAGTGAAGCGAGGAGTCTAGGTCAGTGAAACAAAACTGCAGCTACACCAGCGTATGGCACACCATAGAAGAGCCAAACCCACTGGTCAGGATTCAGCAGTATACCTACATCTAAAGGAAAAAGGTCACTCCTTTGAAGATAGTCAAGTACGCATCCTAGACAGGGAGGAGGACTGGTTTGAAAGGTGTGAAAGAGGACATTTACAGGTGAAACTCGAATAATTAGAATATCGTGCAAAAGTTCATTTATTTCACTAATGCAACTTAAAAGGTGAAACTAATATATGAGATAGACTCATTACATGCAAAGCAAGATCGTTAAAGCCGTGATTTGTCATAATTGTTCGTCTCGAAGCTTATGCATGTTTTATCTATGATATATATACGGGAAGTTCTATCTGTATGTTTCCTGATAATGCTGTATTCTAATAACATGTTCTTCTAAGTAAAACTTAATTCAGCATTCCTCACGATCTCAGGGGTTCATCTAAACACATAACCAACACTGACTAGTTCTCAGTTAACATTAGATTACACAGAAGTTTGAGTAGAAGGCAGCAGGGCCAGCTGTCCATCACACAGAGGAGACAAGGGACACAATATCACATTGGTCACATTGCCTTTGAAAAAGCAAATCAACAGGTTCATTTAAAAGCTGACCCCTGCTGCTGATTAGTTACCTTTCCTTCCATTCACCAGAGAGCAAGGACTACAAACTCTGTGTAAGCTCCGAGTTTCCTGTCAAAGCTTACACAGGGCTCATGTCCCTCTCTCTACTCCCAGGTGAGAGTACTGGTGCCTAAGAAGCCAATTGCCAAGCATGAGCATCATCACATGCAAAGAAGGGAAGTCATACACTCTCCTATATCCTAAACTACATTGGCTACTTCTCATTGCTTCCAGCATGAACAGAACAGTGAGGAGTGAAGTGATTGAGAGTATAAGCTACTAGAGATGCTGATGTTATTGTAAACTTGCTGCGTTGCACTGCATGTGTAAAAGAACAGATTCACTTTAAAAAAAAAACAGAAAATTCAAAACAGCAGGTAAAGTCTGTAAGCAGCTCACAAATAATTTGGAAATGAAATACTTATTTTGTAGCTGAATTCTTGAGGAATACAGTATGCAGATGGTGTATGGCATGTTTATAGTGGTACTAACTAAAATAGGTACTGTTGGAGGAGATCTGAACCCAGAGCATAAAGAACCCTAATTAAGTCTCTGGAATCACATTGTAAACATTTACCTCAGCAGTTTCCTCAGCCGTCCTGTCAGGGTAGAAAATGAAAGACTCAGCTCGGTCAGGTGAACCATGTGGCTTAGTTTTTCTCCAATGGTACATAAAACAGCTTCGTCCTCTGCCGTGTAGTTAATAACATTGAAGGTTCTTGCTGGTAAAGTCAGTGAGCTAAGCTGAGTGAATGTGATGTTGTTGAGAAGCACTTCAAGGTGATATACTTCTAAGCGCACATTGTGAACCATTTCTAGTTTCCGTATAGAAGAGGGTTCAGCAAGTCTTATTATGTAGAAGAGCTTCCTTAAAGCTAAACTGTCTGCTCTAAAATCTACACATCGGATCTTTAGGGGACTATGACATCTCATCAGCAATGCTTGTACCACAAGCTCATAGGTCTTCTCGGTCACAAACAGGTTACACATGATGTCAACATCAACTTCAAAAACAAAAGGACTGAACTCAAGCATTTGCATCTCAATGAGAAGTTCAAAGCAGATCTGGGAAATCAGTTGCGTTCTTGCCCATCGCCCCAAAGTCTTCTTACATTTGCATGGTTGAAACTGAACATCACGTATACCTGTAAGGTCAACAACTTTGAGTCTTTTGGAGTATGTTGGAGAACAATTTAGGACGTAGTTCTTCAAGCCTTTAAGGCACGCGGTTATGCTGCGCTGGCATGCCCAATGACTAATGTCTTCAGGACAATCCACCGTTTTGCCCATCAGTTTGCCAAAATTAAAATCTTGCAGTGGCCAGTTTTCCACCAGTATATTGATGATTTCCTCTTTCTCATGCAAGAAACAAGCCTTCAGTAGGAGGGGATAAAGATTATGAGCAATATTTCTGATGTCCATCTTGGCATACTCCTGGATGGATATTAAAGCTTCGGCAGCAATGAATCTCAGCGTCTTCATTTTGTGTGAAATTTCACGTCTGGCTTGGCTGTGTTGTGCCTCTGCTGTACTGTCACTGTGTCATGTTCTTTTATTTTTAGCAGCAGCTGACATTGGAATTTGTTGGGAGAGGAAAACCTCCAGCCTCCTGTCAGTCTTTTTTTTTTTTTTTATTAGTAGTAGGCATTTCTTGGACGATATCTTTGTGGAAGGATACAAGCACACACTGAGATTGGTATACTGAAGGTTAATAGGTTGTTCACTTTGCAAGGGAATTTTTCCTTAGGTTAGTGAATGAAGTAAAGCTCTGCCGACTGCAATCAAAAATACTTTCTTTCCCCTGCAAAGTTAACAGCATATTTGCCTTTAGTAAATCAACCCCAATGAGCAGGAGGTCCAGCTAAAGACATTCAAGCCCCTGATGTAAAATGTGAATTTGAGTTTCCAAACATCCCCATTATCAAAGATGTGCATCCGGCTCTACTCAGATGCCGACAATGGTTTGTTATATCATCAGTAGTGGTACAAATGTAAAAGGTTCAGTGGGTACAAAAAAAAGGGGGAGGCTGTCAAAGGATCCTGCATTCTTTTGGAAACAGGGAAGCCAATAACTCGTAAGCTGCTTTGCTTGATGCGTACTTATGTGGATTGGACTAAAGCTGACCATATATTTTATAATCCGATTATACAATCTCCTTTATATCCACCACTGACATTACTCCAGGATGACAATAAAGATCACATCTAGGCTTTCATTTGTTAGTAGTCAGATCTCCATGCACACTTGCATTCAACACAGAATCCAAAGTTCTATAGTTCAAAGAAAGTTTGAGAGTATTCATAGGCTTGATTTAGCAGCTCTCATAGATTATATTTATTTAGTTTATTGGCCATGATTTTAACTTTCGTATAACCTACACAAGCTGAATTAAAAAAAAAAAAGGAAAAATCAAGACCAAGTACCATCAAAGTCTTTTGTATTGTAGATCTACCATCAAACCATGTAGTGGAAGGCCCTAACTTATTGAATACAAACTGAGTGGGTTGTTTTAGGCATGTCCTTAATTAATGAAGCTTTGGTAAATTTTCCAAAATGAGTAACGTGCACGGCCAGCTTGAAATTCACCATAGAGAAAACAAGACAAGAAGCAGTAAAAAAGTATCCGTTTCTGCTTTAAGGCTTGTGTAGATGGGAGTTGTTAAATTCTGCTTTTTGCATTTGAACATAGTACTGCACATATACATGTAAAAAGAACACAAAGCTCCACAAAAGGCTGCATTTCACCTGCACTGTAAAGGCATCTTAATAGGACCTGCTATGTCCAAAGAAACACAATGTAAAGCTGCTTGGACACAGCTTCAAGGCTGATATGCAAATTAGCCCTGTCGGCTAACCCACCAACAAAAATATTGTATGGTTGTAAAACCTTGACTTGTGGCTCTCTGGACATTAAACAATAGAGGAATTTTCTAATATTGAGAAATCAAAAGGGCTCTTCCTGCAGCAGCAGTGAGCTGTGATCATAAGAGGGCAGCAGTAGTAGGCCAAGGAGCTATAGACATACCCAGAAGTATTGGAGGCTCTACAAATAGTGGAGCATATTACTGCAAAATAGGGGCATTTATTGATTCATAAGAGACAGCAAAGCTCCGATTACTATTTTTACGGGATGGAATGTGCTTTTTATTATTTAAACTCCCTGCTTTGGGTCAAAACGACATTCAGAATCATAACCAGCTCATAGAACCATATATACTTTTAATTATTTTTTTGATTAGAACTGCATATTTATAATACATACCAATGTATTTTTGACTATCAGCAAGTGTTTAAAAGAAGGAAAATCCCATAACATACTATAACCATTAAGAAATTTATTTTTCCAGTACACGAATTTCCACAAAACTGCCAGTCATCTGGAAGTTTTTTTGCATAAATAGTGCGTTGTGGCTGTAAATACAGACTAACAATCTACAGTTTAAATTAAATTCTGTAATTATAAAACCAATATATCTATGTTGTAATTTATAGCAAAGCAAGACATTACTTCCAACATAAAACTGGATGATCTGTCAGATCAGAAGTAAAAACTGGGGAAGCCATTCAAAAAATGACCACATCATAATTTTAGTCTCTTTATCCATTTTAATTCACAGGTCTTCCGGCCCAATGACTAGTAGGTCGTAAAAGCTCCACTGATGGCAAAAGATGCTGTGACATGTCCATTGTTATGAAGGCATTGTTTACATGTTGTTGAATCCCATCATTCCTTTCATGTTGCCAGCAGCTCCTTGTTGAAATTGTCTCATCATAGACTGAAGGCCTGCCATTCCACCTGCAAACACAAAAGGGTTATATAGTTTTAAAGAAGCCCAGGTCACCAACTTTAAAAAAAAAAAAAAAAAAACTGCAGGTAAAAAATTAAGTATTTTAAATGCTTACTTACAGCGTGCTATCTTTCCATCACAATTGTTTTATAAAACATGCGATGAGCCTCTGAACTTGCTAGCAAATCTGACTAGTCAATTTCCTAGCACAGCCCCCTCGCTTTTTCTGTCATACTGCTCTAGGAGTATCTAATTACTGACTCTGTAGTCATATCAATCATCTGAGCAAAGCAGAGAGTATCAGTCATAGCAGACAAGCTTTGGAAATCCAGGTTCGTCTCCATTTTTAAATGAACAAAAAAACAAACAAGCAATACTTACCTGTCCTGGTACCCACATCTCTGCTGCATGGAAGAAATATTCTTGCTTGAAGATTGGCATTCAAAACCTCTGGGAGTACTGGATGCTAGTGGGTCCCTCTGCACTGTGGATGTTCTCTGCCCACCCCAAAAGACATGGTCTCCCTCACCTTAAGGTATGGGCAGAATAGATCATGACATTTGTGGTGAGCTCTGTACCTTTTAAAAAGGAGAACTATGAGGCGAGTGCTTCTCACTCACCTCATAGTACTAGCCGACCTGTGACAATGAGACTGTCACAGGTCGGCTCAGTAGATCGGGAGGTGAGCGAACACATACCGGCGTTCGCTCACCTCTCGATCCTTTCACGGCTCTCTGCCGTGACAGGGGAGGGGCTGGATTCCCCCCCTCCCCGCCAGCGCTGACTGGCAGAACAGACATGGGAGGAGGCGGGTACAGCTGGCTCTGCCTCTAGATAAACAGAGCCAGCTGTCAGACTTGGCCACTTTAATGTGAATATCTGGCTTCCCTGTTGCACCCACAATGCAAACAGTGCACAGAGAATTACAAAACACTAAACTTGTATTGCTTAATTCCACATACATACTATTCCATGTATATGCTATTCAACCACACTTTAAAAGGTAGACAGACCATATTTATAGCAAACGATATGATTTGTTTTTGAATATGCCATTTTATATCACTACATGCCTTGTTCTTTTAAAAGTGGATGTGCAGCTCTAAATATTATTGACTTTATTTAATCAAAGATATAGAGGAAGTCTGCCACAAAGACTTACTCTCCAACAGCTGTGAGGTACCTACATGACCATAGGGGGGTTTGCAGAAGGAGCCACAATGCACAGCTGGGGACTAGGCTTTCAACACACCCAGAAATGTGTTGGAAGCTGAATATCTCAACCCAGGAGAGTTTGGCAGCATGGGTAGAGGGACAGGTAGGTACGGTTTATTTTGTAGCAAGGATTTTATTTCATATAAATTTACCTGGCTAATTCCATTAGTTCAGTACTTTTACACATCCCTGCCACACTGTCAGGCAGTTGACATTTATTGGTTCAGCTTTACCGATTTCTTTTTACTCTGCTGCTCATTGGACTATAAATATGCTGCATAATGTGCAGTCATTGAATATGTACAGGATAGGGATTGAGAGGTGACACAGGAAGCTGTAAAGCTAAGCCAGAACACAGTGGTGTCTTCTGCCTTGCAGCAAGTATATGCAAGTTCAAAAACCAGAGTTAGACTTGCCAGTAACCATTTTCAGGGCAGACTAAGGCAGAGGCTCCTCACTCTGGGCAAGATTTATCCAAAATAATCATATATCTGGCCAGAGCTTTAAGCAAATGTTGTCACTGGCACTGACAGGGATCTCTGCAGATAAACACAAAGGCCCACAACTTGGACCCTTCAGGTACTAAAAGCTAATCCTTTATTTGTTCCACCTTGTATAAATTCCAAGATTTAAGTAAAACCTGGATTGGAGCCATTGTTAACACTCACAATAATTGAATATTCTCCACACCTTCCCATAAATAGCTCAGGTAACCAACTGCTGTGTAGAATACCAAGAGAGCTTTGACCTTTAGGATCGGTTCCTCAGAAACCAAGTGTTAGTTTAAGGTCAACACGTTAAGATGTAGGACTAGACTCTGGGATATCAGATCTGGCTTGTTTGGGAGGAATCGAGGGGAAGATTAAGCCACAGAGGGAAGGATGGAGAACGAAAGCCTCTGGCCAAAATGAAGCAATCAGGATAAGATTTGTGCACTTGTTTTTGAGCAAGCAACCCGGAAGTTGCTTGCTCAAACAAGGATCACTTTGGACCCAGCGGCGGGGACGAGCGCACCTGACAGGTAAGTGTGGAGGGGACTGGGGTAGAAAAAAAGTAGCTGGGCTGTTTTTACCCTAATGCAGAGAATGCATTAAGGTAAAAAACGCCCAGACCTTAATACTACTTTAAGAGGTGCTTGCTCATTATAATTTGTAAAGTAGATTTAAACACTGCCTCTGACAGGTAAAGCATTACAACCCTGGGTTGTGCGTTATACGTTAACAAGGGACAATCCTCAAATTTCAGTCCCAAGTCTTTCTATAAGAACAGATCACTGTGAAAGTGCTCAGAAAAAAAATGGATTCAACCATCTTGCCTGCTTCAACAAAATATCTAAAAGAAAATATAAAAAAAAAAAAAAGAAGTCTTTATGTTGTGTGAATGGAAACAAACATATAGGAGGGGTGTTCTCCAATTTGACTGCAAAAGTGGAAATACACTTTTAAGCTCCGACACATACTGACACTAAGCTTAGACAGGGCTAGTCGCTGCTCAAAAAAATAAATAAATCTGAACTTTTTGTATACCGTTTAAAAAAAAAAGGCTTAATACACAGTATGTGCCTACTAGTCAGATTTTATGCCTTGACCTCTGCAATGAACTACAATTTATTAAATCGTAAAAATATATTGCAACATTTGCTAACAAATGAAAATTAGTAGTAATGAAAAAGTATCAATTGTACTTACCCATGTGCTGTAAAACTCTGGGGTCCATCATTTTTGCCATTTGTTGATTTAGTTTGGCCATTTGGGAAGGATTTACATTTTTTGACATGTCACCGCCTATAAACAGAATGGAAAAATGTATTGACAGCAACACATCTTCCAGCATAGATACTGCAATGTATTGATTAAAACGACATATAAAAAGAACACTGCAGATCTAATTATGCTGATACTTCGCCCTGTAAAAGGGAACGCTATAAAAAGTAAACTTTTTTATTCTGAAAAAAATGTAACATTTTATGGACTTACCTTTGAAAAGTCCTTTGATACCTCCCATTTTTTTAACCATCTGTGCAAACTTTGTATACTGTGCTAGCAGCTCCTGTACATCTCTTGTAGATACTCCAGATCCTCGGGCAACTCTTTGAATTCTGCCAGGCTGTTTACTGAAGAGTTTGGCACCATCTGTGTTATCAAGTTCTACAGAGAATATAAGCACAAACAATTCATTGAGCAACTCTATGTTCAGGTGTACGCCACTAGCTGTAACCGATATGTACTTTCTTCCACTTATCAAGGGAAGGAAACGTATGAATAACAAAAGCACGAAGATGTCAATGTGCGTAGTTTTACAGTAAAGATAATCTAGAAAGAAATACAGGAACTCCCCCACTGCTGAGATTCTGAAAGTGCTAGTTGACCGACTGTAAGCCACTGGCTTCAATACTTCCTGGACAGTGACTGGAGAGAAGTAATCAGATCTATAAATATCTGAGAAAAGGGTCAGAAGTCCTTGCCTGCATACTTGTTCTGGGTCATTGACAAAGCATGGAAGTTGGTCATCGTGACAGTCAGGCAGAAAGCAATGGTCAGCAAAGGCAGCCTCCATTTTTCTCTCATGACAGGTCTTCTTTGAAAGTAAACCATCACAAACTGGGATGATGTAAACTTAACTCATGAAGTTGTGGTATAAGCAGAGGATCCCTTCAGTGAAAACCAGAGTTCGAAATGATCAGCAGGTCTAGAGATCTTCAATTATATGAACATTCCTCTGAACATTTTCTTGGCTCCGCTCCCTGCCCTACGTCTCCTCATATCAAAGGAGAAATAAGGAGGCTCTGGTGATGACAGGGGTGGGGGTTAGCTCCACTTCTAAAACAATTGCTTAGACATGCAATACTAATCCTAGTACCTGCAGTTTTCACAGAAGGTAAGCTGTGCTTATTATGCATGGTTCCATCATATGATCAGTCTGAATTACCTTTTCCATAAAATCATTTTTATTCACTTGCAATGTGAATAATCCCTGTAGAGTCAATTCCCTAGCCCATTCCCCCTTCCATATCAAAGCCTTCTCTTCTGGGAGTGTCCAATTAATGTCTGTGCTGCTTTTATATAGCGGACAGGAGAGCAATGGGGAATACTAAAAGGTCCCGTTAAAGAAATTGTGGTTTGTAATTACATGGGTAAGCCAGCCCTGTTCAGAGAAGAAGTGTTCACACAAGTAAACTAAACAAGCACTATAAAAAGGTATAAGATACATGAAAACATATAGGGGGAATTTATAAAAACCAGGAGGAGACAAAATCTGGATCAGCTTCTCTGGTCAGATTGTTCAGTTAAGATTTGAAAATGAGACTGAATGGTTGCCATGCACAGCAGCTCCAGAATTCTGTCTGCTCCAGGCTTGATAAATTCCCTTCAAAGTATTCAAAAAAATACTCTGAGGGGAAATTATCAAAACTGGAGCAGACAAAATCTGGAGCAGTTGTTGAAGTTGAAAAGTTGGTTAAGCTATGAATCCATTTTGTATTCATGTTCAAGACTCCATTTTGTTGATCAATGCATTCAAGTAAGTGTCAATAAAAGGACATTATCTTTACATCAGCTTTATTTTGCATTCAAGTTTACAAAAACTTCCTCCTTTTTGCAACACTCTAGTCTTATGGGCTGTTGATAAAGTGACCAATACTCCCAAATATGGTATAGTTTCACACACCAGGCAAAGTCAGCCCACCACAAAAGACCACTGGTTCCTTAAAATGATTGTTTCGATTTGACCATAGTTAAAATAAGGCAATTTGGGGAGTGACTTTGCAGTTTTAGACAGTTATCTCATTGCTGTGATAAATAATCAAATATTATTGGATGATTTGTATTTCCATGACTACCCAGTGTGGGATGTCACTGGGATGAGCCTCATTAATTATGCTAATATGGCTTTGTTTAAAAATTCATGTAACCTGTTGTGACGTAGCAGAATGTTTGTCTTGACATCCTGCCCAATACGTACTGAATACATTTTAGTTATGATGAGCACACAAATCTCTGTTCCTGGTAATGCGAGGTCTGGTATTTCAGCTAGGACACTGTGCATGGCAACCAATCAGCTTTTCTCTTCAGTTTGTTCAGTTAAGATTTGAAAATGAAAGAGAAGCTGATTGGTTGCTCCAGTGTAATACATTTCCCTCTGTGAATATACATGACAGCAAAGTCTACATACTTACTATATATGCAAGCAATAACAAAGGGCTTACCCTGGTCATTCATGCTGTCCATGATGGTCATAAGCTTTTTCAGACGAGCCATTGACTCCTGCTCATTGCCCTTACTCATAAAATCTTGTCCAAAGCCAGGAATCATTCCCTGTCAACACAAATAAGAAAATATATTTTTAAGTACAACCCTACAAGTGTGTATCTACTACCGTAGCAAAATAAATTCAAATAATCATGGGGGATAGTTCGGTTAACTAAAAGATCAAAAGGAACAAATAACATTTAAAAATAAATTAAAAGTCAGATTCCCCGTGCTGCTGCCCCCCCCTCCCCCCAAAAAAGAGAAGACTTTAAAAGGAGCCAATTAAGTAAGCAGTCTAGACATGCTAGAGGGTCATTCACAGGGGAGCAGTTCTGACCCCCCTGCCAAATACCATCCCACAGTGACCGACACCATTTGCAGTGTTCTGGCTGCATCTGCCCAATATGTTAAGTTGTTTCAGCTGTGGGTGGAACACTGAAGTGTGACGGCAGCCTACATAGAACATTTTTTTAGTACATATAGCAGTGAAAGGATAAGTGATGGAACAAGATATTTACTGTTTACCTTCATTCACAGACAGACAGCAATACCTGAGATACCAGAGTTCACATAGGCATAACACTTACCAATATCTGGCTAAAAGGGCCCATTTTCATGATATTCTGAAACTGCTCATACATATCTCTCAATGTGAACTGACCTAAATTATAAAGAAAATAGGACACATCAGATTTACATATAAAAACTTATGCCAAATGCAATAAAAAGCAATGTCAATACAAGTATTTAGCACTTACTTTCAAGGACACGGTTTTACTACTAATGTTTAATTAATAACATTTTACAGCATGTGTACAAATACAATTTCTACACTGCTTCTTGGACAACCAAGGTGTATTCAGATTCCAGCTTAAAAAGCTCCAGTGCCAACATTCATGTGTACTTACCATGTTTCAATTTCTCTATTAGAGCTTCATTATCATCTAGCTTCAACTCGTTCACTTTATCAATCAACCCTTCAATGTCTCCCATTCCTAAAAAAAACAAAAAACATGCACAGATCAGACAATAAAACATCTGAAGGGAATTGGGAGATATTGCATTGCTCTGCAGAAGCTTACATTTGTATTTTATTTGAAAAACAGTGTTTAAAAAAAAAAAAAAAAAAAAAAAAAAAAAAATGTACAAAGTGAAGAGATTGTAAAACACTCATTTTGCACTTACCCAGCAGTTTGCTGATAAAAGGCTGTGTTTTAAATGGTTCAAAGTCATCTATATGTTCTCCAGTTCCAATGAAAATGATGGGACTCTTTGTTGCGGCAACACTGTGAATAATTAGATTATATAAGATTTAAGATGATGGGCATTAAACTAATATTTAGTAAAGTAGTTCATCATTGGAATTTAGTATGGTATATATTCTAAATCCAAGTCTCTTGTAAAAGAAATAAATGCTGCATTTTAGGTTTAACATTCTCAGTGTAGGAACATGGAAATATCTCCTTAGTCCTATGTTGTTTATATTAGGTGAACTGAAGTACATTCAGACAGGGCTCAGACTTCCATAATGGTTTTTAACAAAGTTGTACTATGAGAATTTGCAGCCGGGGAATCCTCAAAGAACCTTTCTTTGTGGCTCCTGATTTCCCAAAAACCATGGAGTGACATGTTAAATAGTGGAGCTCCCGTTTAAAAAATATGCCACCCAAGCACTAATTAGTTCAACTAGCAAAGACAAAAAAAAGACAGCCAATTTCAGTTAGACTTCATATATTACACTGACTGTCCATTTTTACATGAATCGTTAGCTGAATGTATGGACAGGTATGATAACAGCAGACTTACGCACTAAGAGCTCCTCCTCCTTTCGCATGACCATCCAGCTTGGTCACAATGACTGAAGCTACATCTACTTTATCCTTAAAGGCTTTAGCTTGGGCTTCACAAGCTTGACCAATGGACGCATCCATAACATAGACAATATTATCAGGTTGCTGAAATGTGAATATACGTGATAAATATTAACATAGAAGCTGAACATAAAACAGATCTTGTTGCATAGAAACTGCAATTTTTCATTTGTTTTACCCTAGAGATCAGCTAGCTCCAGAACGCCCGAGTGGCCCGAGTACATTCATAACATAATTGGACATGTGTATAGGAGATTGTATTATTCTAAAGGCCCGTTCCAACAAGCCTCTACGCTAAAATGCTGCGTTTCAGCAAACAGGGTTAGTGTGTTGTTACCGTTTATCTTTTTTAAACTTTTTTGGTAGTGTACAATATGTACACTCCATTCATGCCCCCGCATGGCAGCATGGTCCGCTGCGCTGCCATGCAGCTACCTGCAGTGTGATCCATTGTGCTGCAATAACATGTGGCATGCTTGCATTTTATTGTAGTGTCCCACCCATTATCCGGCATTCTGTATGAATGGGACATACAGAAAGCAATGGTTTTCTAATTTTCCTAACGGGGACCGGTGTCGTTCCAGTGCGGTACAGCACAGGTCACCGCTAAATGTGTGAATGGTTCCTTATCCTCAGCACAGCAATCAGTCTAAACAAATTCTTTTTCCCCCCAGCCCCATAAGCCAATTGGCCAAGGCAGTCTGTATTGATAGTAAAACGAATCAATACACCATTCTGCTACTTAAATTGTGTTAAAATTAATTTCATAAGACACTAGAATATTGCTGGTTAAGGAAGGCTTCCTTACTATAGCATTAGAAACTTGAAGCATTTCTTCAAACAAGGAATCCTCTTGCTTGTGCCGACCACTTGTGTCCACAATTATAATTTCAAAGTTTTCGTTCTTAAATTTTTCGACACCTTCATAAGCAATGTTCACCGGATCCATCTCTGTGTAGCTGTAGAACAAGACATTTCCATCATAAAAAATACACACGCACACAAAAGAAGCAGATTGTTAAGAATAATAAACTTGTATTAGACATTCCATATATACAGAGCAACAGCTCAACTGCTTATTAATAGCCATCCCAGCTTTAGGATTCCAGATAAACGTGTTCATAGACTACAAACAGATTGGCCAAATAAAAAATTATATTTTTTATTTAGAGCATAATTACAGTATGTATTTACAAATATGCAACACATAACCAGGAATGAACAAATCTTGTTTCCCCACAAGATTATATGTTCATTTAATGCAATTAAAGCATGTTATTTACGTGTAAATTAGATATTCTTAGAAGAGCAGAGGGCTATGACATGCAAAAAGGCAGGGGGCTAGACAAAGGAACTAACTATTTCTGGAGTAGTCAAATTTTCTAGCAAGTACAAAGGCACATTGTGAGTCAATTTTCTGTGCTTTTTTCTGCTTCATTCAAGTTGGAGACAAGGTCTCTATAAATTCATGTATCTAAGCCATAATGTACTTTTCTAAATGCATCAAGTCAATCAAATATACTTGGATTTTTGTAGTTGCCTGATTAAGGGCCTTCCTCAAGAACTTGCATACTAGAACAAAGGGATAACCTATCCCTGGGTGGACATCCAGACATACCCAGAAAGGTACCTGCAGCAAGAAACTAAAGTGTTCTGCCTACTGACAATCCATGGAAGAGCAGAGCCCTCCAGAGATCATCTCCACCTGTCAGGCAGAATCTAGGATGTACAAAACCTCTCAGTACACAGACTACTGGGTAGGAATAACTGGTTTACAAGGCACTGTCCTTAAGGGAGACACAGCAAGTGAGTCTAATACTCTCGGCATCATCCAGAGCAGGGAATAGACTAGTTCCCCTGTCGCAAGAAAGACTCCACTCCTTCCCAGTGAAGAAGGCATGATAAAACCTTGGTATGACCAAGGCAGGTTCCCCTGATGTGAAAGTAAAGAACTGTTAAAAAAAAAACAAGGATGGTAACCCTGCAGCTGGAGGATCTCAATGAATGAAGCCCACCCCTCTTATAAAAAGGAGAGAAGACTATTATAGCCATCTGAAGAGGCTGAAGGATCACAACAGGGACTACCTGGTCCAAGGGGAAAGACCCACTAGCCCACATAGAACCCAGAGTCAAGACAAAAGGTAGAGGCTAAGGAGCCAGTAAAGAATAGAAGAGCGGGAGGCAACCTTGAAGCGAGGGTCCCCCAAACTCCCTTGAGGGAGCAAAGGGGGTTGACTCGCTGCCTGATGACAATCTGAGGGTACACAGACTGTGGAACTTTTTAGCGAGGTGAAGCTGGAACACAGGTGACAGTTACCAATGCTGCAACCCCGTGAAGCCTGATCTAGCAAGGGTTAGGACCTTTGGAAAAGTGATAAAGCTGACTTTCTTCACAGGAGGTCACCTGAGCAACCCACAATAGGAATGCCAGGAAAAGGCACCAGGCTGAATACAAGAGTCTATGCTCCAAGAGGTAGCAGGTGTGCCTGGGTGACGCTGAGGAGCCAGGTCCATATAGTAACATAGAAGTGTGGCAGCAGAAATAGACCAGGTGGCCCATCAAATCTGCCCCTTTACTTTTTAATCTTTTTCTCTGACACGTTTAAATTCACGTACGCTTTGAAGCGGCACTAAAAACGTAGTAGTTAAATGTTAAAAATGCACTGCCAGCCATGAACCTCTCCCAGTCCACCATGGTTGGTTGTTAGGATCACTGGCATCCCAGCCAGTGACTTATGCATTCATTTAAAGTGACACTAAACTCAGGAGTTAAACCTTAAAAATGCATTCAAGTACCTTAAAAATGCATTCAAGTACCTTAGCTATTAACAAAAATGTATCTTATTTGTGCATCACTCAGCTGAAGATCCTCAAGTCATCTCCGAATTGGTGCTGACACTGTCCTTCCTTCTGGAGGGTGGCTACTTTTGTTCCCCATGCTACCTGTGTGTGTGTTGTAAAGTAGCCACCGCTCCAAGCTGCCTGCAATCTCACGTTTAGTTTACCAATTAGCCACCTTCCAGAAGGAAGTACAGTGTCAGCATGAATTCAGAGATGATTTGAGGATATACAGCCGAGTGATGCACGTTTTTTGTTAATAGTCAAGTTATATCTTAAAAATGCATTCAAGCACCTTAAGTGTCACTTTAATGACTCACTGCCTGTGCAGGACGTCTGTTCAAAGCAACTGCTCTTTTGATTAAAAAAAATTAATATAAATACTAGTTTCAAACTTTCCTCCTAGTAGTGTTCTTGATCTTGGCTTTATATTGAAAATACTGCCCTCCTGAACCTTATTCATACCCTAAATGTATTTTAACCCCTTCATGACTGAGGCCTTTTTTTCATTTTTTGTACCCATGTTATATTCCACATTTTAAGTCAGAGCTGATCCTAGTTGACTTTGTAAGGCTCCAGACATTTGTTCCACATGCGCAATTAGGTGGGAGTATACCCTGGAAGTGGAAAGAACCTTTTTGGAGGTATTTAACCCATTTTGGCAGATAAAAAGGTAACTGCCAACGCAGGATGGAGGGCAGAACCTGCCAGATGAAACAGGGGTTCTAGCTGCCTTCTCAAAGGAGAACAGATTCAACACACTCTCAGGTGGAGTGCAGGACCCTTCCACAAGAGTACCTAGAATAGCAGATGTAGTGGAAAGGTCTCTGCAGCTGTAGGAGCTCTGAAAACACCAAAGGCTGGAGACAGAAGGCCCAATCTCCAAATGCAGGGTAGTACAGACTGTGGAGCTGAAGATTCAGATGATGTGGACCCTATAATTACAGGATAACCGGATTCCAGAATGCAGGCATCGTCAATCATGTTTTTCAATTATAATTACAACTAACTAGTATTACAAGGAGCACTATCAATTACAATGAACATGCGAGTACAAGTTACACTCTGACCTATACACATGTGTATGTGCCGTGTCTATGAGTTGGCATTGTTATAAAGGAAATCTGGAGACTGATTGCACAGCCAAGAATTTCCCCTACCCTCCAGACTTAACGGTGGTAAAAAAACAACACTTGTTCTGGAAATCACATGTAACAATACAATTCCTATTGTGCATTGTTCACTATAATCTTGAAAGACGCTCTACATATAATAACACTGAATGAAGCAATGCATATAGGAGTCACAGTACCTGCCATAGAATGGTATTCTGGCTTTTGTAGCATTCTGTTTCAACTGATCGAAGGCTCCTGTAAATACACATCAATGTACAGGTTATATTTACCAACACAGCTGCCTATTCTTAAACAATGAAGCTATAAATGTATATGAACATGTAGAAAACTCAATTTGTCACTTCAATGTTACAAGTATAACAAAAGCCCAAATTTTCAATTTTTAGGGCACATGCACTGCATTAAGGCATCACACTGATAATGGGCTGCAATGCCCCAAAACATCCTGAAATTAAGAGGAATCACAAAATTTGTACCAAAATGCACCATGGTGTGTTGCAGTGCTATTCAAAATGAATGGCAACACATGTAACCTGCGCTGCTCCACATTGCCAAATGGGCCTTTGGAGAGTGAAGAAGGGGTAAAAACCCCCGTCAGTTTGTTATTGATGTGTGTCACTGCTAGGGAGATTCTCCCTTTCTGTCCTGGTGACCACTGTCACCAGGACAGAGAATAATGGGAAAACATTTTGCAGACGTCACCGTAAGAGGTGAGGGGAAAATCTTCCAATAAGCACACCTGCTTCTACCACAACTGTGAAGTTCCCCTCTCTTTGGAGATATTTCCGGGACACAAAGTAAAGGGGAATCCTAATATGACAAAGAAAGCAAAAAGGAAACAGACATTGGGTTCCCTACTCCATCCAAAACAAATGTTCTGGTTTAAGTTATATATTAAATCTACAAAGGATTCTTGGGAGTATCTAAAATTCTTCTTGTACACTTACCTGCTCTAAATGTATCAGCACATATTAAACATGTTTTCCATCCTTTTCTCTGATAATAGTATGCAAGCTGAAACACAATGAACACAATTTGTTTGTTTACTGGCTTGTCTTGTATAAATCCCATCCACATTACACAATGCAAATATCAGTGAGAATAATTTAGCTACACTAAAGCCAAAAGAGTCAAAGAAGCACATTCTACCTTACCTTCGAACAGGTTGTTGTTTTCCCACTTCCTTGTAACCCTACAAACATTATGACGTTCGGCTTTCCTTTAGTGGGTGCCCATGCTTTTACTCCTGGATCCACCAGCTGTGGGAGACAGAAAATTGACCATAGGCATCTGAAGATTCCAGTTTTATTTTAATTAGCTCTGCAAACACAAATCAGACTAAATCTTTAACGGATATAATGCTGGTGTGATATTTTAAGCAAGAATAAGTATGAAGGTCAGAACTTTTGTGATCTGCATACTTGTTCATGGTCAGTGATAATTATTGCAGGTAGTGGGTTAGTATTGGTGCATTCAACTAGCGGTTTCAGAATGGTTGCCATTGCTGACCAATGCAGCAATGGCAAACCTCAAATTTTTCCATGACAGGTTTACATTATGGGTCCTGTTTTTCTGCACACCACCACACATGTAATCAGACTAATTGTCAGTACAGGAGAGAGAAGCCTGCATAACTGTACAAGACTGAAGGTAAAGCTAGATTTAGGCTTTGAAGCAAAACACACATACCTTGACCAGCTCCTTGAAGACAGCATGCTGAATCATTTTCCTCTTATTGAGACCAGATGCCATTTCTTCCAGATCAATTGCCGACCTGGGAATAAAACCCACATGGTTTTACTTCAATCTACATTCCTTTTTTTCCACAATGTTAAAAAGGAAAACTATAATGGTTTTTGGTCAATTTTACACCAGATACATAAGGGAAGGGTTAAAACCTGTCAATGTATTACTTTCTTTTTTTCCCCCATTGGGGAAAAAGATTTCCCTTACTTCCTTTTACAAGTGACAGGATCTAAGCAGAAAGCTTGCCAATTAGGACATGAGAAAGCAATATATACAGTTTTAGTAGACAGGGAAGGACTTAGAAATTCTACCAGGTTTTCTTCTTGTCTGCATTTACATTAGAAAGATTTCTTCCACTTCCTGTCCCACAGATTGTTGTCCATTACATTGGGAGTGAAGGAAAATCTTCCAACAGGGATACAGACCATTAAAACCTGACATAAGCTTGCATTCTTTTTATTTACTTTTGATTAGATTGGAAGTGTTTTTCCTTTATATAAAATCACATTCCAAAAAAAAAAAAATTCAATATAGGGCAGCTTTCATGGCATTCAGCCTACATAGCATGTTTGGTATGAAGCAGAACAAAGTCCAATATCTGTATTAGGAACACACTTACTTGACATTTTCTCTTAGTTGCTTTACAAGTTTAATGTTGACATCTGCTTCCAATAAGGCTGTACATACTTCTTTCAGCATAGCACCGAGCACCTACAATGAAAACAGACAAGGATGGTCCTTATAAATGCCAGCTCTCATTGCTTATTGGACTACAATGGTGCAAATAACTGACTCGCACTCTATGTAAGTTGCCACAAGACCTCTTCCAGCATGTTGGGAAAGAAAGATTAAAGTGAATTTGATCTGCCTAATACATTTCCAATGTACTGAAGTGCATTCAAAACACCTGATTTCAAATCAAGCCCTGTGTCCCTCTGGAGCCCCTTGGATCCCAGGCCCAGGATATGTATGGGGCTTCAGCTGCTGGACAAGTCAGAATTAAGCCTACAACACTTTTTATAAACTGTCAAATGCCAAAACTTCAGCGGTAAGTAGATGCTCTGGCATTTAAGTTGACAGTAAAGAATGTGGGGCTTAGTAGTTGGCGGGGACAAAATTCTAATATCAACTTGTACAGTCTGGGCTTAGGACTTATGAGGCCCCACAAGGACAAAAAGGTATCCACCCAAAGAATAAACAAATATACTTGCTGGGACCACAAGGTCCATGCACTTCAGTACTGTTGGATGTGAAAGGTTTAGGTCTGGATACGTTCACTTTAAAAATGTTGAAGGTCTTAGAATAATATTCTCAACAAAAATAGAACAGCTCCACATCAGTTAATCATTATATATTTATATGAGAAGTTAATCAGTCATGATATGTTCCGTTAGACTTACCGGTAACGGTATTTCTAGGAATCTTCCAGGACAGCAACCTGAGAGATGATTGGTTCCACCTTCTACAGGAAACACAATTAGCAAAACAGTTAAAAGCCCCTCCCCTTCCCCTCGTACCTCAGTTGTGATAAAAGTAGACTACCACCCCAGTAAACGAGGGGACAACCCAACAATAAATAACATACCATACATCATTCCGGGTGGGAAGTAGGCTTGCTGTCCTGGAAGATTCCTAGAAATACCGTTACCGGTAAGTCTAACGGAACATTTCCCCAATCATCTTCCAGGACAGCAACCTGAGAGGATAAACAAGTACACAAAATACAAGCCTACCTCTCTAGGGCGGGACAATTGCTTGAAGCACCTTTCTGCCAAAGGCCAGATCTTGCTGGGACAGGACTTCAATTCGGTAGTGTTTGATGAAAGTGTCCTGCTTTGACCAGATAGCTGCCCTGCAGATCTGCTCCACTGATGCCCCAGCTCTTTCTGCCCATGAAGTGGACAATGACCTGGTTGAATGGGCCTTAACTGAAAGGGGTAACTCCTTTCCCTCCGACTTATAGATGCAGACAATCACCTGTCTAATCCACCTGGCAATAGATGCCTTAGAGGCCTGCAACCCCTTCCGTGGGCCAAAGAATAACACAAACAAATGACTAGATTTTCTAAAATGCCTAGTTGCCTCCAGGTATTCAATGAGACAACGTCTAACAATGCATTAATACACTTTAGAAGATATAAAATGTACAAAAACATTTTGTTAATGCAGTGAGCAAATAAACCAGGATAAAAGCAGATACATTGATCAAACAAGGGATGAAAGCAGATATAGCGATCATACTAAAATAACCACATTCCTGGTTTCCACTTCTAACTACAGAATAAAAAACACAAAACTGAAGACCCCTTTCACACGGGCTGATCAGGAGGGCATCAGTGATCCTGATTGGAGCGGTATGGATTAGATGTCACTGTTGCAACATCCATGTCCATCGAGCGTAAAAAACTGAAGTGACCAGACCCCAAGTTGGTCTATGGGGAATGTAAATGATCATTGGTCCATTTACATCAGATTACCCCCGATCTGGTACAATCAGGTCCATTGAAAAGGAGCACTGTTCCATTTGTTTTTGAAAAGGCCTGGCCAGAGTCAGAGGTAACCGAGTGTAAATGGGCGCCCGTCCATTTACACACAACTGCCCGTAGACTTACATTGGCCATCCGATCGTGTCCACCTGAAAAACAGGGCATAATTGGTCGTCCTTTTGTTGCCATATTTTCTCCCCCATTTCTTTAGAAATAGGCATGCCTGCTATTAGAGCTTACAATCATGAAACAATATGTCATGCAACAAAGTCTTTGGAGATCTTCAAAGATACCTGAATACGACTGATCAATATCAATGTAAATTCAAACACACCATAACACATGCTTTTTAATTACATTCAACTTGTTGCTATTTCACCATTGGGTTTGACTCTAGTATATACAAAAGAGAGATCATTTTTTAGCACAACCAATCAAAATTCACTTAGCTGAAGCCAGAACAATACATAATGGATTCTGATTGGTTGCCATGAGCTACTGTACTAAATAATTAGCACTTTTCATGCTGTATTGGTACAAAACCACAGTACATGTTTTAACACCAAACCATCCAGCAGAAAATATTAGCAGTGATGGTGTACATTAGAAATGGTTCAAAACAGCTAGGCAGAATAACTACTGGCTGCTTGGATTTTCTAGTGATGAACAAAACAGGAAAAAACAGTGTAGTTTAGTAAAATCTCACCTCCTCATTAATGATGGTGGCATTGCTCAAAGAGCGTAGAGCCGAAGTGATCTTCCGTCCAAGGTCAGCTAAAACCATTTTGGCTCTTTCCTGTAACGCGCTTTACCCTACAACAAAATAAAGCAAGATTAAATACAATGGGTCTTTCACAAGTTCCAATATCAGGGTCTGAGTAAAACATTCACCTACTGTTACACGATACATATAACTAACCTTTGCATGACAGAATTGCTTAGCGAGTCTCTGACCGAGAACAAGCATGTGCACATTAGGTGCCCAGTCACCTAACTATACAGTATATATGCTTGTTGCACTGATTCACCAAGCAATGATGGCAATGCAGAATGCATTTCCACAAACCAGTCAAAATCATCTGCCTATGATGTTTGAAGTTCACCTGATGCAGCTGTGACCTTTGTCTCAACTGCAAGTCTCCCTTAACACCTAGGCATCAGCATTTCCACGTGTAAAACGCGCGTTTTTACACACGTCTTTCCCTTGCATTGGTTTGTGTGTTTTGCACATTGTACGCATGTTGGATGCACAAAGACAAAGATGCTCGTTTTATTGAGCAGATAAAAATACATTGCTTGGAATAAGGAAACGTGCGCGTAAATGCGCACAGAAATTTGCAAAACGCTTGTGTCTCGAGTTTTAATGCATTTCCATTGAATTCTATGCGGCCAAGCGCGCTGTAATCTGTCCGAAAGAAGCTAATGTACCTTTTCCAGCGTTTACAGCTGGCGACAAAACTCTCAGGTTTGAAAAGGGACCACAGAAATGCATGGGATTTCTAATGTTGAGAGTTTTGTCGCACTAAGCTTTGAGCGTAAAAAAACTAGAAGCTCCTGTACTTCTTTGGGCACAGGGCGTTTTTCAGCGCGGTCCTACTTGCTGAAATACGCCCAGGTGGGAACCATGCCCATAGGCAATTATTGGTTTTCACATGTTGAGCGTTTTACAGCGCGTCGATCAGTGCTGTAAAACGCCCAGGTGTGAACCAGGCCTAAGGGCTATATCACACTAGCAACTTTGTTGCAGCGATCTGTAGCAGCTACAAGTCTTTGTTTTCTCAGGTGAACTGTAGCTGGATACAGAGTTGCTGCTGTTACTGACTTTTCTAGGCAGCTACAGATCAATGGTAGCCATAATCACAATCTTTTCACTGGGTACATTGCAGCATGCAACATCAGCAGTGATGCTAGACACATAGGGGGTTGCCTTGAGGTCAAGCAGATCTTACAGCCATTGACAAGAATTACCAATTTTGGGATTTATTAAATGTCGGCTGCTACGGAAAACCTATACTAGCAACAACTGGCAGATGAGCACCTTGGTATACAGTAAAATCAAGGCTTGACAAATCCCAGGAGTCAGGTAGCCAATGATCCTTAATAATTACAGCTGGGGCCTAGCTTTAAAGGTTTTCTCTGGTGGTTGTCAATGGAACTGGCCCCTTAATAAATAAAAAGTCTGCTGGCTCCTGAATTCCATACTGATTGGTCCATCCCAGATCTGATCAAGTCATTTAGAGACAACTGTCTCTGATCTTCAAGGACAGTGCCAAACACTGAAAATTGCTCCTGGGAATGTCTTTGTCCTGGGATACTTCCAGTTTTCCATTCTCACTAAACCAGGAATACAAGTTCTCTTCCACTTTGTGTGCCTAATAATTTGTGCATTAGGAGTAGATATCTAACCTCGCTCTGAATAGTCAGGATGGAATGCAGTTGTTACATCAGTTTATATTGGACTTCTGAAAATGTACTTCCATTGGCAGCAGTCATTCAGAAAGTCCTGTTGATGACAATACAAACTGATCAGAAACCCAAGCATTCTGAGCTGTCAACAGAACAAGGGTTGAGGGAAATTTCTTCCAATGGGGACATCTGTTCTAATGACAAGTCCCTAATATGGGAACTCCCCTCACTTTGGAGAAATTACCCCTGATTTCTAGTTAGATCTACAGGACAGGAAGTGAAATTAAATCTGCACAGGAAGTGAAATGAAAGAACTCCAGGGCATTTTTTTAAAATTAACCCTTGCAGTGGGGCTAGCCCTGCACTGCAAGGGTTAAAGGAGAAATATGAGGAGTGATTTTCACTCATACTCATAGTTAGATCAAACGTGTGACAATGAAACTGTCACAAGTTGACTCTAGAGGCCGGGAAGTGAGCGAACACATACCGTCGCTTGCTCACTTTCCGATCATCTCCCTGCAGAGAGTGGTGACCGTCAGTCATGGCTCCCTGCAGGGATTGCCCCCCTCCCCTGTTTAATCCTCCAGCACTGATTAGAGGAATGGATGGGGGAGGGAGCGGGCACAGCTGGCTCTGCCTCTAGATAGGCAGAGCCCGCTGTCAATCAGCCAGCTAGGTGGTTCTCGACAGTATTGTCGGGTTCCGTCTCTGCTGCGCCGCTCTCAGTTTATAGCGAGCATTATTTGCTGGGTGCTGCAGCCTGAAGCAGACAATGTATATACATATGCCTTAACAATTGCTTAATGATGAGGACTTTGTACACCCGTAGCTTTACCACTGTCAAATGTTCTGTGTTAAATATGAAACTTTAACAAATATTAAACAAGAAAATATATCTAAAAGCACTTCATTTTTTTTGATAAGAGTAATGTAGGGTAGGGTTAAAAGCACTGGCAGGCTTTCTGGCTTTTGTTTTTGCAGTCTGTACCCTATTGAGAGATTTCACTTCCTGTTTCACAAACACAACAGTAAGTGAGAGCTACGCTACACCAGTTAAATCCCCCTTCAGTTGTCACTAAACAAGTGTCAAAACTGGAAGATTTCCCCTCAGTTCCTGTTCTGGTGACAACTGTGGCATTCTGGATTTTTCCCATCAATTTTTCCCTGTGACTATGATCACCAGGACACATCAAGGGGGCGAATATTCCAGGGGTGGGGGACACCCTGACAGAAGTTCTACCCTCTCACCAATCAATCCAAAACTGTAATAATTAGGCTTTATATACACTTTAAGGCAATACTAGGATGTCCTGGCTGACAGTCACTATCTGAGCAGTAAACATTCTCATTCCTGCCATTCCGGCCTCTCCAGTGTCCGGTGGGACTTGAGGCTCTCCGCCAGCTGGAGGTCCCCAGGAAGTGAGGACAGTCCATATTACCCAGAATAGACTCCTCTGTCCCTGTGTAAAGCCCCCGGCGGGACCGCTTAGCCCGGCGCCTCTCCTCCCTCCTCCGATGGGGAAATACGTCTACAGAAGCCGCAGCACAACCGAGAACCGCAGCACAACCGAAAACCCCAGCAGCTTCCGCTCCCTAGGAAACGTCACCATTTCCAGGTGACCTCTCACCTTACGCTGCTTTTTGTTTCCGGGACTGCGTTCGCACCATAGAGACTTCGCCAGCATCGCAACTGGCCGCAGGCCGCTCCTTCCTACGTTAGTCTTGATGGTTTAGGACGCCATCTTGGTACACCCAGAGTGTGAAAAGCGAGTGTTGAAATAACGGTACAGGATGGATCTACATCAGGCTCAGCGAGCTGTAGTGAACCTGCTGGCACAGGTGTCTCCGGGCATTCTGCCCAGGGTTATCCAATGGATGAGACACAGCAGTAAGCAGACACAATGCTCATTCATTTCTGGGAGAGCCGTGTATTTATTTTGTATTTTCATGTCGTTATTCTTTTTTAATCATATAGCAGTGTTTAACTTAAAATAAAAAAGAACGACCAGACAGGCTATTTATGGCAGAATAGACATACAGGGAGGAATGTATCAAAACTAGAGCAATTACCCATGGCAACCAGTCAGATTCTCTTAAAATTACATTAAAGGAGAACTATGGGGTCAGTGTTTTTCCCCATAATTCTCCTTAGGGTAACGGGAGGACACAAACTAGCGTCCTCCCGTTACCCTAAGCTCAGTATACCGCGAGCTACAGCTCACGGTATACTGAGACGCCGCAGCCGGAGCGGATCCCGACGTAGATGACGGGATCCGCCCAGCTGTGTGAGTGACAGCTGGCTCTGCCTATCTAGAGGCAGAGCCAGCTGTACCCGCCCCCTCCCTGTCCGTTCCGCCAGTCAGCGCTGGCAGATCGGAGCGGGGAGAGGGGAATCCAGCCCCTCCCCTGTCACAGCAGAGAGCCGTGACAGAATCGAGAGGTGAGCGAACCTGGTATGTGTTCGCTCACCTCCCGATCTACTGAGCCGACCTGTGACAGTCTCATTGTCACAGGTCGGCTAGAACTATGAGGTGAGTGGAAATCACTCATCTCATAGTTCTCCTTTAACTCAGGAGTTTCATCTTAAAAATGCATTCAAGTACCTTAACTATTAACAAAAATGTATCTTATGTGTGTATCACTCACAGCTGCAAATCCTCAAATCATCTCTGAATTCATGCTGACACTGTCCTTCCTTCTGGAGGGTGGCTACTTTTGTTCCTTATTTGTGTTGTAAGCCACCCTCCAGAAGGAAGAACAGTGCCAGTATGAATTCAGAGATGATTTGAGGGTCTACAACTGTGAGTGCACACAAATAAGCTACATTTTTGTTCATAGTTAAGATACTTGAATGCATCTTTAGGAATTAACTCCTGAGTGTAGTGTCACTTAAAGTTTGTTCAGTTAAAGGAGAACTATGGGGTTAAGTCTTTTCCCCATAGTTCTCCTTAGGGTAACGGGAGGACACAAACTAGCGTCCTCCCGTCTCTCTAGGCTCAGTATACCGCGAGCTGTAGCTCGCGGTATACTGAGATTGCGCAGCTGAAGCGGATCCCGACAATTGTGCCGGATCCGCCCAGCTGCGTGACTGACAGCTGGCTCTTCCTATCTAAAGGCAGAGCCAGCTGTACCCTCCCCCGTCCGTTCCGCCAGTCAGCGCTGGCGGATCGGTGCCGACCTGTGACAGTCTCATTGTCACAGGTCGGCTAGAATTATGAGGTGAGTGAAAAGCACTCACCTCAAAGTTCTCCTTTAAGCTTTGAAAATAAAAGATAGACGCTGATTGGTTGCCATGCACAGCTGCTCCAGTTTTGATAAATTCAGCTCTATGTCTCTTCTGCAAAAGAGAATTCTTGCCTGTTTTTTCACTTTCTTATTGACAATGCACAGCTCAGTTTATAACTTCGGCAGCTGCCGAGATGAATGACCTCCTGTGCGCATGCATGGGAGTTACATCATCCTTTTACAGCTAATCAGCATGGCCAAGGATCCTGAACCCGGAAGAAGACCAGGTAAAGATGGTGATGCCATGTGTCTAGAAGCACATGTGCAACTATCACGTGAAAAGGGTGAAGGATATCATCTATGCCCAAATTCAGCAAGGCTGGTGCTGGGTCAGGTCGAATTTCAACCTCTATAATTGGGGATATGATGGAGAAGATTTGGGACCAAAAGGAGGTTAGTTTGTTACAGGTCCAAAAAACATGGAGCAAGGTTCCAACTTGGCCACATTGATGCCAGCATTGGTTAGAATTGTTGGGTGAGAACTTCGTACTCTGTAGTGTGTCAAATGCCAACTCAACATCCGCTTTTGTGCAAGTTCCCACAGACTAACATTATTTAGTCAAGTTCCCACAGACTAACATTATTTAGTCAAGTTCCCACAGACTAACATTATTTTCCTAATATTTTATTCATTTATTATAATTTTTTTATTAAATATTTGTAGTTTTTAACTTTACTGTCGGGGGCTCTGGGAAATATCAGTGGGCTAAACATCAGGTCTTTTTCTGCAGCCCTTGTTATAATGAAAAGGAAACCTCTATATTGAGGGTTCCTGTTCATTCATAACCTGTGGGGATAGTATGTTTACCATGTCCACAATCATGAATTAACAGGAAGTGATGTAGAGCATTTCCTGTTCATTCATAATTAGGGACACAGTAAACATACTATGTCCTCAATCAGATACAGTCAGCTGATCGCTGACTGCTTGTAACCGCTCTCTACCCTGACTTGCTTTTACAGGAGGCTGAGCCGGCAGTGCAGAGGAAAGCTTGGTCTCCTTTGACAGCTGACTCCTCCCCCACACTACTGGGTCTGCCTCTTGTGACAGCTTGCAGCTGTCTCTTGCCCCTTCACCATTCTCCATCCTGAGAGCTCGGCCTCCTGACAGTTTCTCTCCTCCCCACCCCACATGGCCTCCTGAGTTTCTCTCCTTCCCGCAAGACGCTGCTCTGTATCAGAGGGGACACAGAGCAGCGCCCAGCGAGGAGAGAAATCACGGATGCAAGATGGTACTTTCAGCATTTTGCCCAAAGTACAATTTTCCGCCGATATGTTTCGGCTGCCAATATTTCGGTGCATCCCTAATATTTACATAGGGACATAGAATGGTGAGGGGTATGAGAATATCTGTGCTGTTTTTGTTGCTGTATGTAGCCTCACTGGGGAGATTCAACTCTCGATTTTATTTTTCAAATTCTTTATTCCAGCTTCACCAGAAGATACAAAACACAGTTGGTTGTTTGTTATACACAGGGAAGAGGAACATGGCCTACAACCTCACAGTAACGATAATTTGAGTAGTGCACTACATTACCATTATTAACCATACAGTCTCCATTCCATGAGATGGCTCTTTCTTGTGTCGGACATCACTTGATCTATTAGTCCTTGTGACCGTTGTCACTTGCATTAAAAACATATATAAATACTTGGAAAGAGGGAAAATCTTCCAGTGGTGAATCTTGTTCTTGTAACACCTGTCTCTGGAACCTTCACAACCCACCTGCATTGCAGCGGATGGTAGCACAATACCATGTGTTATTGTTCTCTCTGTGAAAATAAATACTGCAGGTAGGTTTTTTGGTTCTTCAGCAGACCATTCAAATAAATGTGGATCAACAAAAAATGGTGTGAAATCATAAAAAGTTTTTATTGTTCACAATTCAATGAACTCGATAAATGAGGCAACACATTTTTGGGGGCAGTCTCATCCCCCTTCCTCAGGACTTAAAAAAGTAAGATGAAAACTTGAGGACTCAAAGTAATCATTTGCAAAAAAATCCTTGCTTCATATGAAGAAAACTCTCCTGGTGAGTGCACTTCAGTTAAACAACGGTAAGCTTGCTGTTGTGTCTACAGGACAGGAAGTGAGGTGAAGTCTCCCCAATGGAGCACAGGTGGCAAAAAGAAAAACAATTTGACAGAAGTTTTAAATATTCCGTACTCCAAACAAGCCATGCCCACCAGAATCCTGGTCCTGCATTGTACTGTATGTGATGACCTAGAAAAGCCAGCCCTATTAAATTCATAGGGAGGTGGATACATTGTTATTTTTTTAGCCTCTGCAGAGAGTTTCACATTAAAGTGCACATGTACCCATACTTTGGACATTACACTTTTAACAAGCAGTAAAAGAGCTTTAAAGGAGAACTATGAGGCGAGTGAAAATCACTCAGCCTCATAGTTCTAGCCGACCTGTGACAATGAAACTGTCACAGGTCGGCTCAATAGATCAAGAAGTGAGCGAACACATACCGTCACTCGCTCACTTCTCGATCCTGTCCCTGCAGAGAGACGTGACTGTCACTCACTGCTCCCTGCAGGGATTCCCCCCTCCCCTGTCCGATCCTCCAGTGCTGACTGGCGGAACGGACGGGGTAGGGGGCGAGTACAGCTGGCTCTGCCTCTAGATAGGCAGAGCCAGCTGTCACGCAGCTGGGTGGATCCCGACAGTAATGTCGGAATCCGTCCCTGCTGCTGCGTCTCAGTATACCGCGAGCTGTAGCTCGCGGTATACTGAGCTTAGGGTGACGGGAGGACGCTAGTTTGTGTCCTCCCCTTACCCTTAGGAGAACTATGGGGAAAAGCCTTGACCCCACAGTTCTCCTTTAAAACAAGCCCTCACTTACCTCTCTAGCTGCTTGTAATGTAAAGTAATTTATTCTGAGAATTCCTCAACGTTCTGGTTATACGGTAGAATAAATGTATAAGTCGCAAGGGGAGGAAGGAGAACGGTGTTATATAGCAAGTGCCACACCCCTGATTTTGATTGAAAAGAGAAAGTTTGGAAAGGTGGGGTTTTTTAGGCACTCTAAGCGATGATTCACAAAAATGTTTTTATATCAAATGTATACATTTTATTAAATACGTGATTAAAAAGGTAAATCACAGTATAAAAGAAACAAAAAAAAACGAGCAGAAACACCTCCAATATCCACCAATACCCTGAGTATTAAATGGTTAAGACCAAGTTAACATGATTAGTTTAGCTAGTTGATACATAAGTATAATTCATTTGTAGGTCTCATCTCCTACAATATG